GTCCTTTGATTTGACCCAGCTTTCTCTTGCAGTCAGGAGATTTGACAGGCATGAGAGGTTCCTCCGGAAGCCATGCTGTGCTCCAGATAACAAGCTGCTATTTTCCAGATAAGCCATGATGCTTTTCTTGATAATTCTTTCCAGTGTCTTGATTAAAGTGCTGGTGAGACTGATAGGCCTGTAATTTGAAGGGCTTTGTCTTGATCCTCCTTTGTGTATGGGGGTTACTATGGCGTCTTTCCAATCACGTGGCAACACTCCATTTAGGAGAGATAGCTTGAAGATCGTGGTCAAGGGGCCGGCTATGTGGGCTGATAGCTCCTTGAGAAGCCTTGGATGAAGACTGTCAGGACCCATTGATTTTCCTGCATCTAGTTTCATTAAGAAGTTGAGCACGATGCCTTGGTCGATGTCAACGGAATCTATCCCATGTTCTTCTGATGCAGCCAGAGCTGATCCTATAGGCAGTGATGACTCCTGAGTGAAGACTTGGGAGAAGTAGTTTGCCATTGCTTCTGCTTTTTCTTGATCTTCTTCGATTGTATCTTTGTCAATAATCAGGTTTGGGACACCATTGGGTGTTTTATTCCTGAAATTCAAGTACGAGAAAATTTTCTTAGGTTGTGCCTTTGCATTTTGGGCCAGGTGTGTCTCGAACTTCATCCTTGATTGGCGGATTTCTGCGATAGCTTTATTTCTAGCAGTAGTATATAATTCCCTGGTCTCAGAAGTCTCAAGTGTTGCAAACAGGTTCCAACATTTGCGTTTACGTCTGAGTAACTTACGAATCTCCCGGTTTATCCAAGGGGGGAATGTTTCCGACCCTTTGGAACAGACCAAGGGATGAAGGTACAGTTACTTGGGCGTAAAGTTGCTTAAATTGGTTCCATGCGGCTTCTACTTGGGACTCTGGATTGATGTACCAGTTTACTGAGTTGGCTGCTGAGACGATCGCATTTATGTCAGCTTTCCAAACGTTTGGTCGAGCTGGGGTTTTGGCCCTTGCTGCCGTTGCTGTGAACTTGAAAGTGAGCACAGCATGGTCACTTCTTCCTAACGGAGGAAGATGTTGTATGAGATCCACATCCTCACCGTGTGAGAACACTAGGTCCAGAGTTGATGAGGAGTGCTGTGAGTCATAGCGCGTGGGCTTAATGATATGTTGGACTAGGGCTAGCGATATACTAGATTCTAGCAGTTTATGATCAAAGGAGTTGACTGAAGATGGAGTTGTTAGGCTCGACCAGTCAACTGTTGGGGCGTTGAAGTCACCGACTACGAGACTTCGACATTTTGAAGTCCAGGAGCCTAGCTTCTCTATTAGGAAGTCGTCTGCACTGCAGTCAGGACTGCGGTACACAGCAATGAGGTCAATGTCTTGGCCTATGCATTTAAGTCTGCAGCGTAGAAGTTCGCACGACTCACTTTCGTGGGCGAGTGCTTCGATACTACGCACGGTTAAGCCTTTCTTGAGGTAGATGACTACGCCCCTCCTTTGCGGTTTAGTCGGTCTACCCTGTGCACTTCGAAGTTTGGCAGGTTAACTTCGTTGTCAGTGACATCGGGTGTGAGCCATGTCTCTGTGATAATAATTACATCCGGGTTTCCGGTTTCTATCATGTTTGCCAGCTCAGTCCTTTTATTTAACAGGCTGCGGGCGTTTGTGTAGCAGACTGTTAATTCAGATTGGTGCTTCCCCGGCCCACCCACAGAGGTTTCGGGATCATTAAACTGCGAACTCGGACAACCCGAAAACCCTTAATCTTAAGGTTCTTCTCACCGTTCCGGCGTCGCTCACTTAATTCTAGTGCCGCAGCCTGTCTTTTGACACGGTCTGCTAGGCTTAAGTCAGCGCGGACATATATCCCTGATCCTTTGAGAATATGAGAGTTGCTTAGAATAGCATCCCTCTCTTTAGAGTTTAGTACGACTTTGAGGAGACGTACAGGTTCACTTACTGTAGGGTCAGGCTTTTGACCTATTCTGTATACGCTGTGTATAGTAATGCCTGATACTGTTTGTGGCAGTAGCTTGTCTAAAAGGGGCTTGACCAAGTTAAGGTCATGCTCGAATCTGGTCTTAGGGTCGAGGGCCAGTGACTCCTCCACTTTGTGGAGAATGAGAGACCTGTCAGAGAGATCGGGTTTGCTTTCCGTGACTTTCTTGCCCTGAGGCGTAAGTGTGTTTCTATCCTTCTTGGGCGGTGTGGCCGAAGTGTTATCCTTATCTCGCTTTTTGCGAGAGACTACGGTGCGCCATTCATTGGCGTCCTCCTCGCTAATCTTAGTGGGGTTTGTCTGTCTGCTGCTCACCGGTGTGGATGAGGCTTGTTCCGCCAGTCCCTGGGCGACTGGAGCTGCAGGTTTTCGACCCCTGGTACGCCTCTTCTTCACGGCAGTCTTTCCATTACTGTCACTGGAGGGCTTATCCAGTATCGTGGGGGCGACCTGGGTGTCTGTAATGTGGTGGGTGTTCTTCTGTGCTGTAGAGCACTCACTTATTGGCAAGGTCGCATCTGGGACATGTGCTGTTTTGTCAATGACGCTAGTCACGTCATCGTTATCTGAGCAATAGTCGGTATTCTTCTGTGGTGGAGGACGCTTGCAGTCCATGAGCTTTAAAGCCCCACTAAGAGTAGCTATGGCTTCTGTAATACGGAGTTTAGTTGTACTACAGCAGTCGTTGCACAACCAGTTCGCTAGAGGTTTGCAGCAGCGTTTGTATGCTGCTGGAGTAAGGTTCGTGCACATACTGTGAAACCATCTCTTGCAGTTATCACACTGCATTCCCTCATCCACTGGAAACTGGCACATAGCCCTTCCGCAGCGGTTTCTTTTGATAGGCATTTTATTTAAAACGAACCAGGAAAAATTAAATACAACTTCAAATATATATAACCTTTATAAATCAGTGATAAAAGCTAATGAGTGCACAAAGATAGATATATATAGCTATTAAGTTATAAGAACACAACTTCCTATAATTTAATAGACTCAAATCTGAAACGTAAACTAACTTCGATCAGAATAAACTGATTTAAAGTTAAATCTGTGGACTTTTGGAGCGTATAACACAACAAAGGCCAATAATAAACAAGAGCGTGTAAAATTAACTCCCTTTTCAAAGCTAGCGCGGTAGGTGCACCGGAAAAAATGCTAGTCTGGGCTTTTGGCGAATGGTAGCACTAATGGTAAAATGAGCAAATTTTGGTTAAATATTAGTCATGAAAGAAAAATTCTGCTTAAATAATGGCTAGAATGGATCATTTCATTAGTTCTTGCGACACAATATGTGTTTGTGTCACACTTATATTTCATCACCTTTCGATATTTTAAATAGTATCGAGAATTATGCGTTATTTTCTGTTAGTGTCAGTTAAAACCGTATTTATTGTAGCCAAAGTTCAGACTATCATTTTTTCCCGTTGGATTGTAAAGACTGAGTACTCTCTAAATCAACGGTGATCGAAATTTCTGGATAACCGAAGTCATGGAAGCTTGGAATTAATAGTTGTTTATCGTGATAGGAGTTACTGAAAATATCAGCTCTTTGAAGTGTTACATTACCATTCTATTATAGACATTCACCCGGATTTTACTCAATTTTATAAAAAAGTGTGAACTTTCCATGTGTAACGAACTCTCTAAATAATACGTTTTCAATCTTTGGAGGACCTTTCATTTCAAAGTTTAGTTGGAGCTGCAGCGTGAATTTAGTGGGATAAATAGACTCCCTTAATAATGATTTCCTTCTTTTAGTTTCTTTCTTATATCAGTAAGTGTAGTGGCTTCATCTATTACTCTTCCGCAGTTTGTAAGGAGTGATTTTTTACCTCAATGATCAGTTAACGTTGACTGCAAAGAAAATAAGTACTACATGGGTAGAACGTCGTTCATCATAAAATTGTTGGGATACTTGATGAGTAGTAATGAAATAAAAATCTGGAGCTAGGTATGATTTAAATCATCAGCCTTGGGGTTACTAGCCCAGCTTTCTTTTTTGTGTGATATGTAAAATTTAGCTTGTATTCTGTACCCAAAATATTTCCTTTAAGATTCGAAACTAAATCAATCATCATTCAAGTCATTACGTTTGTCACAAAGTAATCCTATGTTTTGTCACCTGTCTAAGTTATTGCATTTCGAATTTCAGCATCATCATGCAAAACTTACGCTGATTATCACGCAAAGACCAAATCGTTTGGCATCCTCATAACGGCCTTGTACGGCTGAGGGTGAATAGACCGGACCTCTTCTCGAAATGCTCTCATGAAGTGGCTGTGCGTGCATAGCCTCTACCAAGTGACTGCTATTCACTGCCTTAACGCAGCCGGCGTGTTCCTCACAAAAGTCGAAGGATAAATGAGGACGTCTGGCGCTTACAACCGGACAGGTAGTGGACACCAAAGTCTACGTAGGCGACCTGGGAAACCCTAGTTCAATACATTTTTTTTGAATACAGCTTGATTCCACACTGTATTTTTGGTACAAGTATGGAATTTTCAGCATGGATATTGGTAGCCCAAATTTTGCAGGCCGACCATAGATATCAGGTTGTCGTCGGCAGGGGATCGAACCTCGGACCATGTGCATGGTCGGTGTATATAAGCTTCAGAATCCGAACGAATTGAATCGTGTATAAATCTGTTTCGGATACCGTAAACCATAAGAAGTTAGCTCCTGAAACTTCTGCACTACCTCTTGGGTCAGGCTTCAAGTCGAAGGCTCAGGGGTTGCTTGGTCCCTTATGATAGCCACCTGTTGTGGTCTGGGTGTCTGGGCAGTAGTATTCCAGCCCTCTCGCAAACTATGAAATTTTGTGTGGCGCATCTCTTGGTGTCCATCATGTATCGAGTTTGTGTTTTAGTGATAATTTGAATTGTGTAATGTTTATAACTGTTTGTAGAAGTACATTTAAAAAAAATTAAAGTTTGCTTTATAGTAATAATTTTATTTCTACTTTTCATTATAGAACAATAATTTATCTGTTGATATATAACAATGACTGATGAACAAAATCGAATTTTAAGAGTGGTTGATAAAAAATACAGCACCTTTTGTACTAAAGAAGCTATTGAAAGAAATCCTCTGTATCTAAGGTAACGGGTGTGTTTGGATATCCCTAATACTTCATTTTTTTGTTATCTTAGTGATTTGACGGAACCACAACAATTTTGGGGTGATGTAGTTGTTCGTCTATGTTCCGGTTTTGCCAGTAAAAAACATCAGTTAGGCTTCTTAGATTGTATCTTAAAAACAGGTAGAGCTAATATTGTATTCATGCGTTTTAATATGCTTAAATTTTTAGGTCTACCTTTCAATGAAGCGGCAATAAAACAGAGTAAACTTGTGAATTTTGTTTTTATAAGTTACACGAATCCATTTTTTTTATAGTTATTAGTTTTCTTTTGGATTTATTTCAAAATATATGCGAATCTCAGTCTTCTTATGATGCACATTACGATTCTATGTTGAATTGTTGTGCTCAACTAATGGTGTATTGTCTAACGCAGTCATGTACTTCTTCTATTGATGTGTATTCATTATTCAACCGCAACATCATGGATCATATCAAGGATTTAATTATTTGTATGCTATCAACTTCATAGCTTGCTTAAATCGATTGTTTTACTTTTATATAGATTCCAATAGTGTTGAATGCCTTATAGGCTGTGCTGTATTATTTATACATCTTATCAAATTGGAAAGGCAACAAAATTATTTAACTGAGGTTTGCATTTATTTGCAAAAATTTTCAGCTTTCTCGTCTACTTCACTTTATTTTAGATATTGAATACTATAAATGAATCAGTAGATAGTAGCGTTTGTCTGACAAGTGATTCAGAGAACTTACAGTTTCTTTCCAAGTTATTCTGTTCAGATAAACACCGAAGTCAATTAGCTGTTCTATTGGCAATAACTGGTATCATGTCTTCAGATGACTGGTTGGAGAGTTATATAAATTATGGCAGTCAAAGTGTGTATATTTTATATGTGGTTGGATTTACTGTGGAAACATCAAGTCAACAACAATATGATCGAAAAGATTCTGTCATCAATTTACTTCTATCTAAACTTGTTTACAATTGGTCAAAGTTTGTAATTTGATTTGTTAATTCGAATAAATAATATTCTCTTCTTTATTTTATTTATTAGAAAAAATTTGTCAAGTTCTGTTGTAAGTGATTCAGGAAAGAACACTGCTCATCACAGTCATATTCCCATGGATTCATTGGTAATATTTTGCTTGGAGATGAGAAGCAATCCAATTGATGTATGTTTTATTATTATTATTATTAATTGTTAATCGGCTGATGGGATTGTTTTTTGTCTTCTCAGGCTATTCGATATTCTGCATTAGATACATTTGAAAATATTATAGTGTATCATTTAAATGTGTGTAATGGTGAGTCTCTACTGTTATAATTTGTTCTTATTTGATTTGCTTGTTTAATGAAATTATTATTGTCATTAAAACAAAAACTTGGTACGTAATGGGTACCGCAAGATGTATTACACAAAACCTTATGGTTTGTGCTGCGGCTGAGATACTGCCAAGACCGAAACAGATGCTTGTTCTAAGGGGACCTTCAGAACATACGATTTGAGTTCTAATTCACAAGGTAGTGGACAAGCGTCAGGTGCTACTTTTTTACGATTGGCAGTGACCTAAACAAGTTCACATGCTATTTGATCTGCTCGGATTCCGGAGCTCATGTACACGATTGGTTTGTAATCAGGGTTTTGCATCTCCTCTAGGGTAAACCTTCATGTTCAACAGTCCGGCTTTAAAAGTCAGATATTCGAATTCTCTCTTTCAATTTTGTGAGGAACATTTGTGTCGCATGGAGGTGATAAATAGAACTTACTTGATAGTGGAAGACTATGAACACACGTTCACTTTATGAGAGCATTTCGAGAGAAAAACCGTAATCTTCATACCTGCGGCTCTTTACCGGTTCGTTTATGGGATGTTGATATATATCCCTTGGTATTGGTCTACTCCTGTTATTGACCTATGAAAACCTCATCAAAATTGTTAAAAACTAGCATATTGCTTAACAAATCCACACCGTAAATGGCCTTAATGTCATTTTTCCAAGAACCTTTAACGTGATACCCACAAATATTGTGTAGATTGCTCATTTCCTTACAAATGGATGTGGAGATGAGTTTTGGTTTCACTATGACAACTTGATGGATGAATGCACTAAAATGACGTTGTCGCAAGATAACTACCAAATATGTAGTCTTCACATTCCATTTCAAGCTCTACAGTTATGGAGGCATGAATTGAGTACAATACAATGTCCTGTGTAGGGTATTCATTATATATTTTATTTTCGACATACTCAGCATTATATGGGAGTGGAAATCATAAAATTACTGGTGTTTTATATATGTGTATCAGGGAAAATGTTGTTTTGTAGTTATTAAAAGGAGCAACAGGGTGTATGTATTGCTTTGCCTTAGCACAATTGTTAGGCATTAGTCAGGGCAGGGATTTTCAATTGTATGCTATTTTCTCAATAATCCATCAGAAAGAGTACTACTGGGCGTCGGATGAGAGGTGAAGTAGTGTAAAGCTCTACAAGAATGCCTGGTCAATGTATTCCAAAGGAATATATATATATATATATATTGTTTACGTTGGCCTATTGTAGGATTCTCTGCAAACTATCTTATTATTTGGGTTGGTGGTAAGTAGTAGTGGAACGCAGGATTCACATTTCATTCTATTTGGGACTCTTCACCTGGATGTACCTGTATTCCCAGTGAGTGGTAGTGCCCCCACTAAGTCTCGAACTCTGAATCCACTGTTTCAAAAGCCAAGGCACTATCCACTACGCCACGAGAGCCACCTCTTTAGACGTCGTTGAAGAGTCTTTCCTAGGAGCCAACATTTTAACAGAGGCTAACCTGAAAACAAACGATAACTGATACCTGTTGCACAAGAGGCGGCTATCGTGGTGCAAGTGGTTTGGTGGTTAGTGCTTTGAAATCTGGAACGATGGCTTCAGAGTTCAAGAGTCAGTGGGAACATCATCACTCAATGGGAATACAGGTATATCCAACCGAAGAGTTCAAATGGGACAAATTGCGCATCTTGGATTCTACTGCTAGTCACCATCATCCCAAACAACTCCACGTTGACATCTCATTAGAGACCGAGGCTTTTGGTCCAGTACAATCAATCAGTGGGAAATACAACCCTTGTCTTTGTTGATAAGCTTTTATTGCACAACTTGATCCATTGATACTATTACTGTTAGTTAGTTAATTCCCCTTCGTAGTACTTTTTATTATCAGATTTTATCATTCATGCAAATTTTCGCCACCACCAAACTGAATATAAATCAATGTCATACTATAATTAATCATTTCAAACACAAATTCATATAAGAATAACAGAGGCACGATCGAAAAAGCAAGGAAGATCTTCATTAACCTGAAACCAGTGTGGGAATCTGTTGCATCGAGCATTAGGAACTAGATTCGGATTTTTAATACTAATGTCAAATCACTCACTGCCTCTATATGGTTCAGAGACTTGGTGCACGCATCACCAGAGTCATTTCCAACAGGCTGCACAAACTTTTGCCACCACTTTCCTTCGCCCAGTAGTGAAAATCACATGGCCGAATAGAATGGAGAGGCAAAATAAACCTTGGCAACGAACCAAGCGAGAACTTATTGCCCAACAAATATGCCGAAGGAAATGGATATGACTTGGATACACTGAGGAGACCGTTGAGTGACATCATGCACCAGGCCGTCGAGTGGAACCCAAATGGGAAGTGACGAGTTGGGTATGAGTCAGAGGGTGATATGGAGGATATCGAGTAAGTAGGAGATGAGTTCAGCTGGTATCGATTTTCATCCATTAAAAGGATATTTGACGGACTAATGCTCCTAGCGTCAAAAAGATGTTTACACCCTCTCTTTATTTTGACCTTAAGTTCTCTGTAATACTGACTGTTAATAATGAAATAGTTTTTTTTATATTGTATAAGTGAAACTGTCAAGTGTATCCCTCTTTATCCATGGATTGTAAAGAAAGTTCCTAAGATAACTAACGCAATTGACTGTACAACTTGGGCGTAATTATCATAATAAATTATCCGTTTTGAAATGTTCTCTACTTTTTACTCTCTTATTCATTTTAGAATGTCGTCGACCGCGATCAGCTTCGGAAACAACAACAACAACAACAACAGCTACCACTACTGGTGATTGTAAACCAAAAATATCCTGTGATTACTTGAATGAGATATTCAGTCGGATAGTATGTGATACATGTTACAGTCGTGGGACAATCGCTGTGCTAACTTCCCTTGTACGGTGTATATTTAAAAAAAGTCATTATAAAATAATCGATTTGCTGCATACTTTGTCTTCAGTATTCGGTACATCAGGTCGTGATGTATGTGAACAAGTTGTATCTGGATTGATGAAAATGGCGAATGATCCTAATTTGGCATCGTCTGTAAGTGTGCAGTTGTTGTAGTTTCAATCGTATTTATAAAATTTACACATACGAGTGATTTTATAACTAGTTTGTTTATTTGTTTTATTATAAGACTCTGGTACCCACAGAACTACTTCATTAGTCTTAAAATAACACAGCTTTGGTCCAACGGTTGGCGGGTGGGTGGAGGGGGGAGAATGGGAGGCTTCCAAGTGGTTGTGCCACAGGATGATACTGTTTTCTGTTCTGGTAAGAGTCTGAGATGGGTGTATTCAGTTCTCCCTAAAGCCAATATATAATTACCCAATAAATGGGTGTATCGATGTGTCAACCCCCTGGTACAGCCGACGGTGTTTAGATTCTGGTCTTCCTTTCGAAATGTTTTCATGTGACCGCAGATTCATAGCCTCTGGCAGAAACATCGTATTTACTGCCTTCACGCATCACGGGTGTTCCTCAAGAAATTGAAAGAACAAGTGAGAACGTTTGGCTTCTACAACCGGACTGGTGGACATGCAGTGCTACTTAAGGGAGCTGGAAAACCCTGATTCTAAATCTATGGTATACATGGGCTCTAGAATCTCTGAAAGGACCGAAAGGCGTATAAGCCTGTTTTGGTCGCCGTTAAGCATGGGAAAGAAACTCCTGACTCCTCTTGGCTGCCTTATAGATCGGACTTCAAATCAAATCCTCAAGAAAGGGCCATGTGATATCACTCAATGGTCTCCTCAGCCATCTCCATTACTTTCTGAATATTTTTTGGGCGATAGGCCCTTGGCTGGTTTGTTACCATAGTTACTTGTTACTAGTTTTTCCCAGTCAGCCATCTGATTTCCGGTACTTAGCAAAGACAGATGTTGATGAAGGTTTGCAGCCTGTTGGATATCCTAGTTGTGACGCGTGCGCCACGTCTCTGAACCATTTAGAAGCCACTGACTGACTTGACATTTGTGTTCGGTATTCGAATCTTGTTCTTTGCGCTGAGTGCCGCAGATTCCCACACTGATCTAAAGGTTAATGAAAGTCTCCCTTGCTTTTCCGATCCTGACTAACTTTGACATCATCATCTGTGCCGCCTGTAGTTAAAATGATGTTGCTTAGATAAATGAAAGAAATGACTTTGTTCAAATGTCTTTTCTTGATGCTGATTTGTGGTCATTGTTGTTGTTCTTGTCGTTGGTTAGGTATATTTATCATCTCTGTCGTCTGTGTGTTCGCTTGAAATCACTTCTTTGCTGCTTCTTTTTCTAACTTGTCGGTTGTCACCTTTAGAGCTTCGAGTTTGTGTGATATTCGACATAAATCATCTGCCAAGTTCAGACCTTCTAGAATCTTCTTATTTGTCCAACGTATTGCTGTCGTCTCTCTCCCCACTGTCTGCCCGTGACCCAGTCTCTGACAATTAGAAATGCCGGCAGTGATAGTAAGCAGCCTTATCTTACTCCCGTCTTCACTTCAAGTGTTTCGCTGAATGACTTAATCAATAACCCTTGCTTAATCAACACGTGCGTCGGTGGTATAGCGATTAGGACGCTTGTCGACCATGCATATGGTCCGGGGTTCGATCCCTGGCCGACGCACTCCTTTACCTCGCTAAGCCAGTAGTGAAACTGGTAAAGAGGAAAGGTTGGACGTGAGGCTAGCAACCCCATCCTGTTAAATAAACACTGCTACAGAAACTTCAAGCCACTAGCTTGAAGCCATATGTTCCACTGGGAACGTGAAGGAAAAAATTAATCCACAGTCTCGTCTCAATAAACAATTATGTGCAGTGTATCTCTGCAAGAGTGGAGATTGAAATTTGGCCTTTTCAGGAATTGACACCAGCACAGCATACTACAGTTCCAGGCTCTTTTCTGGTGTCGAAGATAATTCGATCGCGTCAGTTCCGACTACAGTATTTACGTACAATGCCTTGAGTTTCCGAGGGGATGTGTGTTGAATGACTAGTATTGATAAGCAGATGTGGAATGTGAGTTGAGATCCTTAAACATCCAATATCTAAATTGATGAAGTTTACTTCCTAAGCTGTATACTTCAATAGAAATTGAATTCAGTGCGATAAGAACGAGTTACCTTCTATGGCGTTTCAGTAGAGAATGCTAGAAAAGCATACTTCGCTAGCCAACCTTACATTGATGTAATGGCTTTATAGGCTTTAATTCTTGAGAACCTTTATAATCACAGTGATTAGAGCCGTTTCTTTTGAATATATTTCTTATTGGCTAAGTAGTTTTACCTAAGGCATATGTTCCCAACTATCTGACAGTCGTTAAGTGAATTCACGTGCATTTTATAAAATTTTTACTCAGCTGACATTCTTTTCCAATGTATGATTTCTTATTTTATGTAGATTTCAGAACTGTACACATTAATTGCTCAAAAAATATTTACTGAAAAGGAATTATCAAAGAAGCCTTTGAAATCATCTTTTCCTGATACCCTTCTTCACCAATCTGATCCATCATACCAGTGTACTTTTAATCAGGTAAGTAGGTCTCTATTATTCCTCAATAAAAAATACTCACATTATCAATTGATAGGAATTTAAAGAGATTAGCTGTCTCGGTGTTTCAGTGGTGGAGCACTCTCCACTCTATCCACGCACGTGGTCCGGGGTTCGATTCCCTGCCAACGTCCTCCTAGGCCTTGCTTAGCCAGTAGTAAGACCGATAAAGAGGGGAAAGTCGGTGGGTGTTAGGTTAGCAATGCAACCCCGTAGTGAAAACAATACCACTGCTACTGAAACTGCGAACTCCAGGCCCGATACTCTCATGTTCCATTTGGAACGCAAAGGAATCAAATAGATAGATAATGGAGAGATTAAATTCGTGTATCTTACTGTTTTCGAGTATACAATTTTCAAAAGCACTCTCACAATCTCGGATTCTGTTCATGAGATGGGACTCTATGTAGTAACAGAGACTAAGCAGTCCATTTTAGAGTTAGGTAATTTGAGTTGTGTATAATTGGTTACTTTTTATTGTAGTTTTTTTTACATAAATTAAAGTCAACCCGTGAAATTTGAAGGTGTTGGACTGCAGACTTCCGGTTTGGAGCCCTCGGGACTCTAGGAATCAATGGCTGGAGACAATAGGTGACATGGCTCAAAATCGTTGTCAATGGTCAGTGCAGATGTATTGAGTCTCTGTAATCTTTCATATTCCTTTCTACCATTACCCATTCTGTTTCACTCTTATACCTGTCAAACTCTACTGATTCTCTCTACTCATCTTCTTGTCTACCTCTGTGTTCTATTTGGAACGTGGCAACTCGAACTTCTGCACTTCGGTGCCAAGTTCTATGTTGAATCCAAACAAAAAAAATGTGTTAGTTCGAGACTTTTCAGCAGTTCACCTACTTGTAGTTCCTTGTAGGTGACAATGAACCGCAACTCCGTTTATGGGTTGGAGCCAATTATATGACTTGGCTTCAAGCCTCATCGGGTGAACTGCGAGGCCGACGCACACCTGATATCTATGGTCAGCCTGGAAAATTTGGGCCACCGATATCCATGCTGAAAATTCCATACTTGTACCAAAAATACATTGTGGAATCAAGCTGTAAACAAAAATAAAATAAAAAAATAAATAAATAACTCGTGACCTGCTGGTTGGAAATTCGAGCGCTTAGGTCACTGTACCATAGGTTCACAGTGTGTGTGTCTGTGTACCCATTACTATTCATTGATTATTCCAAAGTATACAAGCTTAGGGATCGAACCCAGGGTAGGATTTTCAGGTTGCAAGACGACCTCATCGACCATTCAGCCATTGGGACGAAATTCAGTGGCGAGCTAATGAATTCTAACTTCTATCATTTTACAATTTTAAGCGCCACCGTGCTGACCGTTGTTATAGCGAAGTATTTGTTTTCGCACTCTATCTAGTAGATCTGATGGCCTCACAACTTCACACTAAAACTCCAGACAACTCCGTCCTGTAGTCAGTCACTAGTGAGCGTTGGATTAATTTTCAAGTATTAATTTGCTGGGATTTTTTTATTGGTTTTAAGTTTGATCACAAATTAATATACCAGTTTTCTAATATATGATTTATTTTTGATGTAGATTTCAGAAGCTCAAAGATCAGCTGTTGGTCAAGAAGTCAATACTGATTATGACTCATTAATGAATTCTTGGTTAACGTGTTTAGTTAATACCTTAATTCATCAATCGAATCCAACATTTCATTCTACTGTCAACCAGGTAAGTAACGCCTTAGTGTGTGTGTATGTGTGTATGCTTCAATTGACTGTCTGAATGAATGACTTATTGAGCATCAAAGTAGAACTGTGCACAGAAGTGCAGCGGATCAAGTTGGCACACTTCATGCATAGCACAAAAATGTAGAGAAAGGAATGTGAAGCAGAAAGAAGAGTAACCTGGTGAAACATTACCGTTTACTAGACATGGGTGATTACAAAAAGTGGATGTATCCACGGTATACCCCTAACACTCTCCAGCTATTGTGTCTCAATAAATATATTTGGATTTGTGAGTTATTGAAAGGTGTCAGTTTTTATTACACATATTTCAATTGCATACACACACACAATAAGCTCTAACCTAATTGCATGAAACTTCTGGTACATGCTTGTTGAATTATTTCCATACCTAGATTATATTCAGACCTTATACACACGGAGAATATTTTTACTCAGCAGTCTCTTTCTGTACAATACTTCAGAAGCCTATCCATTAGTTGTCTATCCAGTTATTTCAGTGTACAACATTTCCTGGAGATTTTGTCACGTCTTTTGATTACTTATTATCGGATTTTACTAGCTTAGCCTTAGATATCAACGATTGTCCTGTACACTAAACAGTTTATATGCCTAGATTTTGTGATCGTTTGCATTCACTATTATTAATGAGGTTCATTGGTGTGATGTTGAAGAAACTCATTCATTATAGGATTACTATTTTTTATAAACGTAGAGATCTGGAGCGCTAACTGCGATCGATTGATTAACTAAACGTTTGAGTTACGCGTAAAATTCAAAACCATCAGATGTCTAAAGTACAGTACCATATTATATAAATGTATAGAATAATGAATATAATACAAAAACCTGAAATTGTGAGTTGTCTATGGTTAAATGTCGTGAAATGTGCAGACACTGTGCGTCAATCGGGAACGAAACAAGCTGTGTCAAGTGCGATCCGCGGTCAGGTTAAATATCACGCCAATGCCAGATAAAGGATAAAAGGATTGGAATAGACTATGTTTAACATAGAAATATATGTAAATAAGGCACATATAGCAGATATCGTTTAACTATAAGAAGATAACTGTTACACATCAAATACAGTGTTAATGCATTGATTGAGATAAACTTCAGTAGCGAACAACATTTATGGTTACGAAGTGAGAACATAGTGAAACTATATAGGCTCATACTACTTACTGGTGACAAGTAGTATAAAGTTGTAATTTCAAGAGAAACAGTAACAAAGGGTTGGCAAGAAAGGAATTAACTATACGTATAGAGCTTTTGATATTACTCCCATCTTCTCATTTAAGAGTAAATAGAATTGTGTTACACCCTGGGATTCGTTAGCTACTAACTACCAGTTGACGAACCTGGCCTAGTCTAGTAGCTCGCTAGTTTTCTAGCGAGTCCCAAGCCCGGGAAAAGAGGGAGGGTTGAGAATGAGGCTATCGATTCTACTCCACAAAACTAATCAGACTACTGCAGAAACTTCAGCCCACAATAAGGATATTAAAGATTATTATTATTTTTCGCTGGAATCGGAGAGACTAAATGAAACGGGTTGGTGAGAGCCTTCGGGAAGCCACTCAGCCGATGCATCTCCTTTCTATGAAGACAATAATAAGAATGAGGATGTGGAATGTTCATAAAATGTGTGAGGCTGACAAGGCTGCCCAGTGAACCAAAGAAATGAGAAAATACGGCATAGAAGTGCTAGGAATCTGCGAGAGCAGGTAGAATGGATGTGGACTATCGAAATTGTCAACTGGTGAGTCAATAATCTACTCCGGTCACCCAGACGATGACTACGAGCAAATCGAGAAAGTTGCCATAATGATTTCATCAACAGCGATCAATGCTCTTATGCATTGGGGACTAATCTCCTCCAGGATTATGGCGGAGAGATTCAACTCAAAAAGATGTTAGGTTGCAATTATCCAATACTTGGCGCCTACAAACAACTCAGAACAAGAGAAGAAGGAAGATAAACAACTACAAACACCAATGAACAACATCCCAAATAGTAACATCAAAATCTTTATGGCCAATATGAATGTCAAACGGAGAGCAGACAATACAGAAAGAGATCTCATCATGGGTTGAGAGGCTTTCGGCGAAGTGAATGATAGCGGGGGATTCTTCGCAGACTTCTGGACATACAACGATTTGGTGATTAGAGGTAGCGTGTATAAGCACAAGGATATAGACAAAGCAACAAACTAGCTGTGGAAGTAGCCAAGACAGGACTCCGGGTAAATATAGAGAAGTCGGAGGGGATGAAGGTAACCAACCCGTATCGACAACGACCAGCACCAATCGCCATCAACAGGAGAAATTTTGGAAGAGGTTACTTCCTTCACTTATGTGTAGGAAGCACGCCTTCAACCACAGGTCGACGGAGCTGATGCAGATGTCAAAACCAGCCAGAATCAGAAGGGGCGAAATGCGCCTTCATCAATCTGAAACCAGTTTGGAAATCTCCTGCACCCAGCCAGTATATACAACAAGATTGTGATTTTCAACACCAATGTTAGGCAAGTCACTACTTCTCTATAGGTCAGAAACGTGATGTGTCACGAAAAGCCTTTCCAACAGCCAGCTGAACAGTTTTGTCAACAGCTGCTTTTGCTGGCTGTATATTAAAGATCAAATGTCCAGAAAGAATTAACTACAAGAAATTCTGACAACAAGGCAACTAATAGCCTATTGCTCAACAAATATGTCGAAGATAATGAGGAGGATTGGGCATACTCTGAGAAGGCCGTTGAATGACTTCTCACGCCAGGTCATCGCTCTAGTGGAATCCCAATGGGAAACGACTAGTGGGCAGTCCTAGGGTGACACAGAGTAGATCGTGCGACGAGGAGATGAGAAACTACGGGCAATCTTGAACCCCGCTGAAGAGAACAGTAGAAGATAGAACAAAGGAGAGATGTGCTGGTGAAGCCCTATGTTCTGCTTGGAAACCAAGGGAATAATAATAATACCAGTTGACGAGCTGATTAACTACTTTGCACCAGTCCAGGTTCCCAGACTCTGTGTAGTGTACAGAGTCGGAGAGAAGAGAGAAAAAGGAATTCAAATGAAATATAAACACAAATGTGCGTCAGAAAGAATCCTAACATGGAGAAACATAAGGATTTAATTGACATGGGTGATTACGAAGAGAGAAGGCATCTGCGCCATTGAAAACGATTTTGAGTCACATAACAAACAGTCTCCAGGCTTTGGTTCTTAGAATCCAGGGACGCCCAACTAGGCAGCTTAGATCTGCATACTTAACTGGCTTAAACCAGCTGTCTAAGGCCTTATCGACTGTTACTAAATTTGAGTTTGTGAACCCCTACCTCTTCTCCAATCTAATCCTATACCCGCTAACACAGCTTGAAGAGGAGGGAGATGGGTTGGCATACGCGTCGCGTACTCTAGGCAACCCAGTCGATTCACCTTCACAACCTCATCGGCTGACTTCTGTCCTTCAACAAACACCTAACCTCAATATTGCTCACTAGACTATACCACTTACTAGAGAATAATTAGCCGGGAAAAGAGGTAGGGTCGAATGTCAGGCTAGAAACAGTATTCTTTAACAAAAAAGTAGCATCACTACCATCTATATGTTAGTGAGCTTAAAACCCTATGTTCCACACAGAGATCTCACTAAAGAATGGAAAAATCGCTTATCAAAGCGTAGACGGCACATTTATGAGTGTAATATCTTTTATAAAACTGCCGTATTAATATCGACTTGGTAGAGTTTGACGCTAATCATTGAGAGAGGTGGTTAACACTACATTATGGTATTCACGTCTTATGCATTCTTATATACATACATGTATAGTAACCACAAAAGTGAAATACTTTTCTCTGTTTTGTATTTTTCTTTTTTTTTGCTTGTAGAATATTTTACCAGATTTAATGAAAGCGAACCACAAATTATTGGAGTTACTTGTACAGAGTTGTAACATTGAATTAGGTATTATTATTATTATAACTATTATTACTTCTCATTTTCAGCTGTAAACAGAGACACTAAGCTCCATAGGTCAATTGTCTGTGTTTGGATGTGAATGTGTATGTAAAGTGAGTCAATGACGTTGAAAATCGCTTCAGATATGGCTCCTGTAGCATTCGCCAGCTAACGTCATCTCTTTTGTGTTAGACGTGATATCTTGCTATCGATCACTGGAAGTGTGTACTACTCAGCTGTTCTCTCTCTTCTCCTCTAGGACTGTGAGACATAATCACTGAAAGTGGAAAGCCTGAATAGGCTAGCTGTCTTTGACCCTAAGTATTTACCTTCTGTCTCCCATGTTAAGTGGTATAATCTGATAAGTAATTCTGAAACTAGGCGTGTAGTTTTAGGTAAATAGGGCCAGTCAATCGATAATATTGTGAAGCCACATCGATTGAAATAGCTAGGGTGTGTCTTGTGCGTGGTGAGACCCTAGCCTCCTTGACGGGGAATACTAGTTGGAATAGGATTAGGTTGGGGAAGGGTTAGGTGTGGTCAAACCCAAACCAGGCATCGATCCATGAATTTTCTGAAAGTTGGTTTAAGAAAGCCATACAGGGAGGTCTAGGCCGTCTTGTTAGGGGTTTTTCGGAATGCTAAAATCGAATGGCTGGAGACTGTTGGTAATACCGCTCAAAACTGTCCTCGATGGCGCAGATACATTCTCTCGTCGTGAACCCTCATATACCATGTCAACATTCTTTCTCGCTCTCATTTCTGCTGAGTATCGTCCTTTCGAATCTGTTTTTTCTCTCTCTTTTCTCTACCTATCTGTGGTACATGAAGTATGGGAACTTGAGCTGGTGCACTTCTGTGCAAATTTCAATGGTGAATCTCACCGAGTGATCCAAATCTTCACTGACTGAAGCGATCAGATTACATTTTTATGTATATTGACCTATCGCTTGCTCATGAGCGGGTTTTACCTTACAGTTGTGACAAGAGCAGGAGCATATAAGTGTATTTTACTGTGCGCCTACTTAGTTGGTGGAACTCCGACGTAAGGTTAGGAACCCCCCCTTAAGAATAAGATTTTTAAAGAATAATAAAATCTTCTGAAAATGATTCTTACGAAAATATGTATTCGATTATTTATCTCTTCTTAGTAACCATTTTTCCCAACATTGTGTCTGGAATAAAAAAACCAAGCAGCATTTAAATTCTTGTATATATATATATATACTGCTCCAGGAAACTTATCCTGTATACCGATATACTCACAGCTTTTTGGGCTACTTGGCTTGAGCAGTCTACAGGTCTTGGGGTCGACTCTCATTCCACATGCACCTGGGTAACTGTGAAGTATTACCAGCCCTCACACAGTATGTAGCTCATAGTCTGGCACATGAAAAATCTGTTATATGAAAAAGAGAAGACGTTCAGCGAAGAGACTCTTTTCGGCGAATTCATTCACATAGCTGTACAATCGCATTTATATATAATTATTTGAGTGTGTGTGTGTACATGAGGTTTGTCAAAATTAGATAATTGATCAGGTAATAAAAGAATGATCTAATATAGAAACAAAGTTAATTGGACAGCAACTAAATTAAGATTGAGTTAGTAAGTTAGATGACGTAATACAATTGACTAAAATGTTTTAACTTAGGTCAGGTTAGCAACAGAGGTAATTACAGGTAGAGACTAAGTAGAAGTGGGGTAGATAATAATGCCATTTAGATTAGAAATGAAATTGAGCAATTAAGTTGGATGACGTAACATAAATGACTATAAATTGAGCGTTGGTCAGGTCAATTAAAGTGGTAGTGAGGTGTAGAAATTAAATCGGGTAGGGGTAGAGACAAGAAAGTTGAAAATGCAAAATATTACAATTGAGAAGACAGAATAATACCAATGAAGAGACAGAAAAAAAAACTAGGTAGAATTTACCTTTCAGGTAATAATGTAGGTTAAGTCCATTGTAAGTTTAGTGATTGAACGAACCTCTTCTGTATGCAGAGTTCAGGGCTTAGCAAGTGAATCGCCATTGCTTCTGCAGTTTGAACAATGGACTTAACCTACATTATTACCTGAAAGGTAAATTCTACCTAATTTTTTTTTCTGTCTCTTCATTGGTATTATTCTGTCTTCTCAATTGTAATATTTTGCATTTTCAACTTTCTTGTCTCTACCCCTACCCGATTTAATTTCTACACCTCACTACCACTTTAATTGACCTGACCAACGCTCAATTTATAGTCATTTATGTTACGTCATCCAACTTAATTGCTCAATTTCATTTCTAATCTAAATGGCATTATTATCTACCCCACTTCTACTTAGTCTCTACCTGTAATTACCTCTGTTGCTAACCTGACCTAAGTTAAAACATTTTAGTCAATTGTATTACGTCATCTAACTTACTAACTCAATCTTAATTTAGTTGCTGTCCAATTAACTTTGTTTCTATATTAGATCATTCTTTTATTACCTGATCAATTATCTAATTTTGACAAACCTCATGTACACACACACACTCAAATAATTATATATAAATGCGATTGTACAGCTATGTGAATGAATTCGCCGAAAAAAATCTGTTAGTTACTCGCCGATAACACTGGCTGATGACTACGCTATATATCGCTAATCGGCAGAAGGTGAAATGCGTAGGCCATTGAATCGGTTCCCAATGACTGAATGATCTGTGAGCCCGCCTCGTAACTGTAAGGTGCTCATTAAAATCCCAGTAGGTGCGTAATGCTAAATAGTGCCAAAACTAGAACGAAATAGCTGTCCAGTACACTCTGGTTCTTCAGTGGTTCTCTAACTTATACCAGTTCGATATCAAATCTGTAATTTAAAAAGTCGTTTTTATCATTCTTAACCTCTGCTTTCCTTTTTCCTTTCTTCCTCAACCCGTACAACAGTTCATGAAGATGTTCACTTGTCTATGTTCCTGTTAACATGCTATCGTCTTCTGTCTTCAAATCGTGTTAAAACAGACGTTCGTAAATATTTCTCGTTAGATTTTCTCAAATCTTGTCTTGGTGCATATGATGATCAGGTAAGTGTGTGTTATGCTTTTTGTCACAGAATATATGGAAGCAAAGTGCTCTACAGTTGTCACTGGATTCACGATTGTATATATTTTTTGATATTTTTTACGTCCTGAGTGGAACATAGGGTTTCAGGCTCCAACTAAGTTTGGTGTTTTCTTTTAACGAGGAGGGGTTGCTAGCCTCGCGCCTAACTTTCCGTCTTTTCCTGGGCTTATTGTTAGCCATGTGAAGTTTAGGAGTACACTGGTTGGGAATCGAACCCTGGACCACATGTGTGGTTGAACCACTGACACATATATCTTCTATTGAGTAAATAAGAAACCTCTAAATTTCAGGTTTCATGTGGAATTTTGTGTTGAGTACTCTTTAAAGGTCACTTGTTAGATTTCTAAAAGATTAGTCGATTTGAAGAAGGACTTCATCTTCACCTTGAAGTCAACTATTCACGTATTGGTAATCAGAATACCTCATACATCTTTTTAGTCGCAAGTATTCAGCGTCTCTCTTGATATTATTTATTTATTTATTTAAACGCATAAAAAAACTTGGTACAATATGGCACCAAGGAGGATGCGCCACACAATAATAATAAAACAACATAGATCAAAAGAAAAAAAGAAGGAAAAGAAAAAAATATAAGTAGGGAACGGATAAAGAACTTCATCTGGAAGGAAAACACTCATGCTTAACAAGTTCAAATAGTATTCGTTAACTATCATCGGGAAGGTAAGAAAGAAGGAAATTGCAACACGTTCGACATTGATTACGATTCTAGGCCATATCCGATAACGTTTCGAGCCATCGATTCAAGCTATCTCGCGGACCCCAACCAGGGAGTCGTGACACACCAACCGATGCTAATCTAGCACAAAAATCCTTCATCCCACGACGCCACGTCATGGACTGACCACTCCTCCGACTTTTCCATCCTGTCCCAGGGCTGGCTGCGAACAGAGACCTGTACGAAAGCCTCCAGGGTGACATTCGCAGGACATGTCCGAGCCACCGGAGCCGGTGTTTCAGATGACGACACTCAATGAATGGTGATCTCCACTGTGTTCAAACACACGCCGCCAAACCTCAGAATTACTCATACGATAATGCCATCGAACGCAAGCGATCCTGCGGAGACAGCGATGATCGAACACGCAGAGTCGTCGCACATCCTCAGCTCGAAGAGGTCAGGTTTCACAGGCGTAGAGCAAGACAGCCCGCACCGAAGCTTTGTATACCCGACCTTTGACAGCCAGGCTAGGCTAACATCGCGACGGCAGCAGAGGTGACTCAAGTTGATGTATGCCACCCTAGCCTTCATTATACGGTTGGAAATCTCACCGTCACCCCTCCGCCAGCACTCACACAACTACCCAGATACACAAACTTATCAACAACTTCAGGCGGTTCACCTGCAAGAGTGAGTGCAGGTACAGGCTCCTGTCAATCATGTAACAGTACTTTGCACTTAGACGGCGCAAAGCACTTACCATAATTACAGACACTTACTGTTGATATTACTTCACTATCTCACTGTTTATAGGCCCATTAGTCGTATTGGCGCTTCACTATGTGAAGTTTTGTAACTAGTAGGTAGTGCTTAGGTTTCATGCATCAGTTGTAGTTCTGATCGATTCATGTCCTTCTGATATATCTGTTTATCGTATCTACTGAATACATCTCATGTTCCAGGATTTCATCATAAGCTGACATTAGTTAGAGAACCATTGGAAAACCTGGGAGTACTGGACAGCTGTTCCGTCCTAGTTTGGGACTCTTCAGCAGTACGCACCCACCGGGATTCGAACCCAGGACCTTCCGGTTACAAGGCGAGCTGGTATACCATTAAGCCACTGGGACCCGATCCAATGGTCCTTGAATTCTAACTTCTGCCAATTCACGACATAGCGCAACCGCTAGCCAATGTCTTCGGCGAGTATTTGTCCTCACACCCGACCGGCTGCACCCTACCGGTCACAACTTCCCACTGGAACCCAGGTAACTACCTACCTGAATAGGGCCAGTCGCCAGTGAGCATCTCATTGGTATTCAAGTGATGTTCTTTGGCCTATATGTCTTTACCGGGTCTACAGTTTGATACTTATAATCCACAAGTGTTTCGTCTCGAGACTATATTGTTAGCATTCAGTTATTTTGTTAGATGGTTAGAGGCAGTGGGCAGAAAGTCCCCGACTTAAGTTTCGTGCTTGTTGACACTGCTTATGTCCCCTACAGGGTTCGAACCTGTATCATCTACTGCTGCCACTCAGAGATCTTACCACTGAGCTATTCGGGCTCACAGTTGACTTTCTGTAGGACTGTAATGCAGACATCCATTGATTGGCTCATATAGGATAACCAATATCATCTATATTTTCCTCAGTCTCCCATCAGGATTGTAGATACGCCTTGCTGACTGGTGAGTGTCAATAAGCATGAAATCTAGGTCCAGAGCTTCTAGCCGATTGCCATCAACCGTCTAACATCAATTCAGAATGATGGAAGGCCACTTAACATGGGGCTGACACTGTAAACTTGGCTGACAGAATCCAGTTTGGACCAAACGATGAAGTACACGCATGACAATAGTTACATCCTATTGTCCAATCAAAACATTCAGTTATTTAAATATTCAGTCTTCCTAGCCCAAGTTTTCCAACTCTTGCCGAATTAGCAGCAATGTGTCACAGCATTTTTAATTCATTTCCATGTATTCTCCAATTCCTTCTCCAATGTATCCTATTCTTTATATCATACTTTTATTGCTTCTCTTTTTGTTTTTGATCCAGCTTCGACTTACCGCTTTAAATGTTTTAGTAGGTCTGATTACTAAAACAAAAGAGTTGGAGGGAGTCAATGAAAAACTGTTATTATTTTTAGACTATCTCAGTCATGATTTATGGCCAAGTTCAAAGCATTTTCAATGTCAAATTGTTTGTGCTATTCAAGATGTAAGTGATGAGAGATTGGTGTATATTTTTTGTATTTATCTCAGTATAAATTTTCAAGAATTTGTTGGTCACTAATCATTTCTTACCTCTTTCGTTTGAATAGTTGGTTGATAACTGATATGTATTCACATGATGTGTGTTTTGTTTTTGACAGTCTTTGATCATAGGTGCCTGCGCTCTATTTCCCGTGTAAAGTGGCATAATAACGTGAGCAACATTGAGGTTAGGCGTAGAGTTCTAGGTAAACAGGGGAAATCAATCGACGAAATCGTGAAGCTACAAAGACTGAGATGGTTAGGACATGTGTTACGTATGCCAAGCCATCGCCTCCCTTGACGAGCAATGTTAGCGGATATAGGGTCAGGCTGGAAAAAAGCTAGCGGCGGTCAAACAAAAACTTGGCACCAATCAATGAAATCCACAACAGTTGGTCTAAGCCACGTAGGAAGGTGTAGACTTCCTGACTAGTTGGGGTCCTTGGGACGGTAAAAACTTATGGTTGGAAACAATTGGTGACATGGCTCAAAATCGTTCTCAATCACAGAGGAGATGCATCCACTCCTTGTGACTTATGATCTCCAATGAAACTGTTTTGTTCTTCGTTATTACTCTTCCTTTGTCTCACACCTCTGCTCACTGTTTCTATTATGCTTTTCTTGTACTTTCTTCTCTTGCTTCGCGTGCTACACGGAGTGTGGTGACTTGAACTTCCGCACATTTGTGCAAAGTTCTATGTCGAAAACAGACAGACAGACAGTTATATTTTGCTATGTGTATATGGATCGATATTCCATTATAACTGACAATATGCTTTTGTCTGTCCATTAACTAAATAAACAATGTATGACCTTTTTATCACATGACATTACAACCAATCATGTTAAGACTGTCTATTTATTGGTTCGCGTGTACTAGCCATTTTTATATATACTCTTGCTTTGTTCATACTTGTTCACACAATTCGTACACTACGTACGATTTCGCTGACACACTTGTGTGACATTTATTTTCCTTGTCTGGAAAATACAAGTATCATCGTGAACGAGGTGGTCTTCTGATTTTCTCCAGCTCCGCGTCAGGACTATTAACTACTCGACGAGTACATAATAATAACGAAACACGTTGATAATTTGAACAGTGACAAGTGAATAACTCATAGGATTGAACTCTTAGACTTTTTATATATTCAGGTCTGGGGTTTATTATTATTATTATTAATCCCTTAGGTTCCAGGTGGAACACTGAGATTCAACAGCATATCTCCATCTCACCTTCTCTGTAGTCTTCTGTAACTGACTCCATGATTACGCATAAGCTTTCATCTTCTCCATGTCACCCTCGGATCCAGATCATTTCTGGTTCCACTTGAGTTGCTCACTGACTGACTAGTTTCAGCGTAGAACTTTGCAGATATGTGCAGCGGTTCCAGTTGCCACACAATGGGAAATAAGACGTGTGTTGTTAGTCAATAAGGTGTGGGGGGGGGATAAGATGTTTTGTCATGTTGTTATAGCGTTCATTGAAATGCATTTTAAGATTATTTATCATCCTCCTCTGATTTGACTGGTAATAATATCGTCGACATCTCTGGTATTTGCGTTGAGTCACTTCTGTTGCATGTGTTGGATGCAGACTCGATGAATCAGGATTGAGTAATCAATCTCTCCACCTACCTATATTAATTTTTAGAATTTTGACTCTGTGCCACCCACCATATTGTGTGGTTGTGTGTTAATGCGTGCAGTGCAGTTGCTGAGCTTTTTTCTAAATTACGTATCTTCGCGGGATCAATCATTCCTACTTTAGCTAAACTCTTATGTTTCGATGATCTGGCTACTCCCGATCTACTAGTTTGACCTATGTAGTTGACCTCACTCACAGTCATTGCAAGGTAGGTATTTGAAACATTAGTTAGGCATGGAGGGCCAGTGTTTATATCCCATTCACGGAGGTGTGTTGGATGCTCGGTAAGTTGAGTGTAGCTCGAGTTACTCAACGGTCTTCATTTCCTTTTTGTATACTTTTGTTTGTTGGTTCCTTTTCAGAATTCCTTGTTGTTAATCGTTTCCATCTGGTCATATGATTTTTGGTCTTGAGGACCTGGATCTTTCTCCCTTAAAGCTAGTGCACTAGACCAGCCTGTCCACCAGTCAGCCAAGTTGCAGGCCCAGATGTTCGCATTCACCCTTACACTTTTGTGAGGAACACCAGTGTTGCTTGAAGGCAGCGAATAGGACGTAGGTGGCAAAGGCTATGACTGCCTCGTCGTCCTATACGAGCATTTCGAGGGGATGACTGAAGCCTCTTAATCCTCTGTTGTGTCAAGTTATTTATATGGGCCTTACTGTTATATATGAAGAACTGTATACACATACAAGTATATACTAGTTCGGAGTATTTTGTATACATGTAATACCGCAAAATTTGTGTTTAAATTTGAGTAAAATTATTGAATATAGCGAAAATATTCATTCTGACATCTATAAAACACAAAATAATTGAGCAAAGAATATCCTTTTCAAAAATTTTCTCTTCTGGATTTAAAATTATATGTATGTTTATATACATAGAATACTCTAAAGTAGTAGTCAATAACAATATTAGCGTTTTTTTAAAAATAATATCGATTTGTAAAGTAAAATCACAATGGAATTCCAGTTCATTAAGAGGCTTAAATTATAATAACAAAGATATAATAACAAATAGAATATCAACTAAAATTAGGAAAATTCCACAGAAATTGAGAATCATTCAAACCTAGATGGCCAAGGTAAGGATAATGTCTGGGCTAGCTTCTTTTAGACCCACAAATTAGGCTTCTTAATGTGGATCCCAACAGCCTCAGCAATATTTAATAATCGAACTCTAAAGGCGAAATTGAGATTTGTTAGTATGCGGTAAATGACATCAATCTTGTGTTCTGTATCCCCAAGATGGGATAGAATAGCGCTACGAATAGAATTTGTTTGTCCTTTACTTAACCACGTAGGGTGATGCTCGGAAATCCGACGAGAAACACGCCTAATTGTACGGCCTATTTCACTAACTGGCTCTACAGGAGCAGTTAAATAGGTAGATACTCATGGAAGAGGCGAAATTAGGAAGTTTATCTTTTACTCCCAAACGCAAAAGAGGAGTGGTTTTGAAGGCAGAGCGTAATTCATCAGCAGGGAATGCTGTTTTAACCGCATTTCTAAGGCGTTGTATTATTACCTCGCTGATGTTGTCCCCATGGAACTGCATTTGTAAGAATAAGACCTTTTTAAGAACTGTTGGTACCTGGGTTGCCTTGATTTTAGATTCATATTCTTGTCAATAAGCTTTTCTGGATAACTAACCGTTTTTACTCAGCAACCGTTTAATATTATTAAGTTCCTTATCAAGACATTCATCCTAGCAGGTTGCTATTGCTCTGTGGCGGACCAAGCACTTTATCAGATTGCGTTTATATTTTAAGGGCACGAAGCTGAAAAAAATTGTATACTGACCTGTTGATGTAGATTTTCTACATACACATCTTCTTATTGTGCCATCCTCTTTTCTGGTCATAAGGACGTCTAGAAATGAAATACTAGAATCTTTTTTCATTCTTAATAGTAAAATTTATTGCAGAATGAACCTCGTTAAATTTATCCAGGATTAGGGCAGGTTAGTTTTTGATTTGGGAATTTTTGTTGTCAAGTAACGGTTGAGTTTTTATTGAATTGTTACTGGTTCATCCTGTAGTGGTGTGTTATTTCTTGTTTCTTTTTTGTGTTTAGAAAGTGGGATCACATTTATGCCTTGTGTGTTACTCTTTTCTTACAGATTCTAATGCATTTACTCACTTCTATGAAACGTGGAGTAATTAAAACTGGCTCGGATTCTCAGGCTATTGATGTCGAAGTAAGTCTGATTACTTTAGAGGTTCTATTTTGTATGAAGGGAGAGCATCAGGTTTGAGAAATAGCACATTTCTACCTGTTTGTAATGATCATAGGAATTAAGTATTTCAGTGTGTTTAGATTGGTGAGTATATAAGTTGGTTGGTTTTTAAACATTGATAAAAGTACTGAGATGCTAACATTTTTTAAATTTCATTGAAATTACTTGAAACTTGCTAATGGCGGTTTGAATTTAGTTGTATTGTGAATCTCAACATGGATGCCTATAAGTCGATAGTAACAGTACTTTTATCATATTATTTTCTTCTCTTGAGTTCCGAGTAGACCGTATGGCTTCAGCCACATCTGTCAGCTTGAGACTGTTATCTGCAGTCTATTTTTTAGGTGGTTCCAAGATTGACCACAAGTTTTCAACTCTTCCCCACACACGATCTCCCCTAAGTCGCCTTTAGACCTATGTCCAATTCGTCGCTTCACCTTCCGGTTCCACTCGGGGGCCTGGCGTGTGATCTCGCTCAACGACTTTCTCAGAGTGGTGTGTTTGATCCATCTGAATCTCCTGCGGCATATTTATTGGGCGATAGGTTCTTGTTTGGTTTGTTCCCAGAGTTCCTTGTTGGTGATCCTTTCTGACCATCTGATCTTCTGTGTGAAGCAATGACAGCTGTCGACAACAAATGTGTGCAGCAGGATTTGGGAAGTGCCAAGTCTCTGAAGCATATTATTATTGTTGTTTCCTTTAGTTCCTAGAGGAACATAGGGCTTCAGCTGAACATCTCCATTGCTTTCGGTTCTCTGCCAACGTTTTCATTTGGCGCCGTGTCTTCCCATATGCTTCCATCTCCTCTTCACATGACCCTCTCCATGTTACCCTCGCACTGACAACCAACTCGCCACTTCCCGTTTGGGTTTCACTCGAGCTGTGGCTTGACGTGTGATATCACTTGGTGTTTTTCTCAGAGTATGGCCAATCCATCTCCATTTCTTCCTGCTTATTTGTTGCACAATCGGTTTCTGCTGGGCTGGTTCGCTCGTTACCAGAGATCTTTGTTGCTGATCTTTTCCTGCCGGCCATCTGATCTTGAACGAAGTATTGAGCGAAGGCAGCTGTTGATGAAGGTCTGTAGCTAGTTTGAGGTACTCTTCATGACGCGCCAAGTCTCTGATCCGTATAGCGAGTAGCACTGACTTCACATTGGAGTTGAAAATCTGGATGTTATTTTTCATTGTGAGGGATCTTAACCTGCACATAGACTTGAGAGTAATGAAAGCTTACCTTTCTTTCCCGATCCTCGCTTTGATAACAACCTCATCAATTCCGTCAGCCTGCAGTTGATACGATGCTTCATAGGTAGGTGGGTAAAGGATGTCGCATCTTTGAGATTTCTTTCATTTATGCTGATTGTTATCTGTTGTTGTGGGTGTTGCTGTCGGCCAGGAATCTTCATCACCTGTCTTCTGTATGTTCATCTGAAGTTCTTCCTATCTTTGATGTTTTTTCTGACAACGTGTTTCTTTTCGCTTGTATATCTTCGAGTTTGTAAGAAATCAGACATATATCATCATGGGCGAAGTCCAGATCCTCCAAGTTTTCTGTGTGGGTCCGTTTTATGCCTGTCTCTTCGCTGCCCGCTATCTGTCGCATTATCCACCCTACCGCAATCAGGAGAATCATTGGAGATAGTAGACAGCCAGTTTGTCTTACTCCCGTCTTCACTTCAAGAGATTTTTGAGTTTCCTGTTGTGGATTACTTGGCATGCAGCATTGTTGTACAACTGTTAGATGAGATGTGTAATTGTCGATGGCACCCCATAATAGCGAAGTAGTTGCCAAATGACCTCTCGATCGACGCTGTCGAAGGCATTTTCAAAGTCAATGAATTTGAGGTTGCGATTTGATCGATGCGTAACTTGTTCCTCATGAATGCAGCCTGTTCCGATCAAAAGTTTTCCATCCAGGGCGTGTTTGATTCTCTTCAGGATGATGCGGCTTAGTATTTTGCTTGGGATGGATAGCATTAGGCATATAGAAACACTGACTAGCTTGACATCAGTGTTTAAAATTCAAATCTTCGTCTTTGTACTGATTGCAACAGGTTTCCACACAGATATCCAAACCAAGTTCACTTTTAACGGTTTGAAAAAATTTGGGCATTGGGTATATGATATTCATTATAATAAAGGTTTTTGTATTTCCCAATGAATGAAAAACAAAACGATATTTCTCTTTTTACCGACGCTTCGCTATTTAATGCTAATAGCTTTATCAAAGTATTATTAAACCGGAATTTAAAAAATCTCAGGATATTTATAACAAAGAGTTAAGGGGTGAAAAAATAGACTTAGGTCAAGTTAAAAGGACATATTGAAAGTCAAATAACAAAGTCAAACTAAGTATCAAAACAAAGTTTATTAACTTGATCATCGTTCTTTAGTCTGGGGTCATTTTTCGTAAAACAAGCGATATCGTTTTGCTTTTCATTCATTGGGAAATACTAAAACCTTTATTATAATGGATTTCCACACTTGTTTCAGATTAATAAAAGCCTGTTTTGTCATTCTGATTTTGGTTTCGACATCCTCATCCTTGCCGCCTGTAGTTGAAACGATACTGTTTAGATAAGCGAAAGAAGTGACTTCATTTACTTTTGAAATATTGATGGTGATTGGTTCTTGTTGTTGTTGTTGTTGTTAGTCGTTGGGTATCCTCACCACTCTTGTCTTTTCTATGTTCACCTGAAGTCTTGTCTTCACTACGTCTTCCCCCAACTTGTTGGTTTTCGCCTGTAGATCTTTAAGGTGGTGTGACCTTAGACGTTAACCATCCGCGAAATTTCTGACGCACGATCCATTTCAACACAATCAAGAACATCATCGTTGATAGTGTTTAACCTTGTCTTACTCCTTTCCTGTTTTCATAGGTATCTCTAAGCGATTTGGACGGTAATGTAGACATATTTTCCAAACTGGTTGTATGGTAATCCTCCAAATATTAGACCTACCGTTCCATGCATACATATACTTACTGAATGGCATATTTATAGTCACTGTCCTAATCCGTATTTACCTATTACATCGATGTAGTTGTCAAACGACAATCGTCGGAGGCAGGGTGTTTTGAGTATTTTATCCAAACAAAGTTGAAGATGTGGTTCATTGGCTTCAGAAGTCGACTTTCAACCAATTAATTGTGTGGCTTTGAATCTCTGTCTTTTCCCTACTTCAATCTGGGCGGCTGGTGGGTTGTATCACGAGCCCTTACATAATGTTTGTGGGTAGTTAAGTTCTAACATTCAGTCAATATGCGTTGGTGGCACAGTGGTTAGGACTCGCCGACCATAAACATGGTCCGAGGTTCAATCTCCGGCCGACGCACACCCGATATCTATGGTCGGCAAGCACAATTTGGGCTACCAATATCACATGCTGAAAATTCCATACTTGTACCGAAAATACGGTGTGGCATCAAGCTGTAATCAAAATATAAAAAAAATTAACACAGAATTAGATTATGAAACGAAATACCTTCAACTTTCCATATTAGTTTGTTTTTTAGATGTATCACACATCCAGTAAATAATACAGTTTCACTGTGTGATACATCTAATAAACAAACTAATATAGAATTACCTACTACCACAGTGCCCAAGTTTTACACATATATTAATGTAACCTTCAGCTTTCTCATTACTTTGTGCTTCCGTTCTTGTTCAGTAAACTAGTAGATTAAATATTTTATATGTTCCTACAATTACTAACTAAGGTTTTCAAATTCTTTATAAAACTGAATCAGGTTAACTGTACATTGTGTGTTGTTAGACTCTTTAAATAACTTGGAATAAGTTTTCCAATCATATTCACTCCAAGTACGTTTTTATTCAAAACAGCTTAGCAAAATAGACTATGCCGTCAGCCACCGTTGCTTGTATTGATCATACATGATATGTCATCTATCAAATCACTTAATTGGAATGTATCACTTATAAGTGTATGTTTGTGTGTGCGTGACTGCAGCAGACAGCAGATTACAAGTACTCAGTGAAGCCATTGAAAGATAAGTGATAGGGTTTACACCTTAATAACAGTTACCACTATCTATGGTATAGTAAGTATAGTAAGGTTGACAGCACATAGGTGTGTATCCAATGTCACGCGTTTAATACTTTGTGTTCGTGTAAATTGAATCTAGCGGTCAAATTTGAAAAGTGGGCACCAAAGTAGGTGGCTCACCATTGCGGTGCACCCTGAATTGATGTTAGACCCTAGACCTAGATTTCCTACTTGCTAGCACTAGTTATCAAGGCGTATCTGCAACCTTGAGCGAACATCGACGGCTAGACGCATGACATTGGTTATCCTGTATTAGCCAATCAATAGATGTCTGCATTACAGTCCTACAGGAAGTCAATTGTGAGTCCGAATAGCTGAACGGTAAGATCTCTGCATAGCGGCAGTAGGTGACACATGTTCGAACCTTGTGGGAGTCACGAGCTATTTCAAGGTTACAGATACTCTTTGGTGACCATTGCTAATGAGCACGAAACCTAGATCCACACAGGGCTCCTTGTCAACTGCTTCGGAACATTTAACATCAGTTCAGAGTGCAAACCACCTAGATTGGTGACCACATCGCAAACTTGACCGATAGAATTTAGTTTACACCAATCGAAGGACTAAACTCATAACATTAGTTACTACTTAGTGTAGAATGAAAGTATCCATTGCATTCCTACAGGAGAGTAAATAGCTCAGTGGTAAAATCTCTGACTGTAAAACTGTGTGGTGCAGTTTTGAGTATCCTTGGGGAGGGTGTGTGACAGAAGTTACTTGGGGGGGGGGTGCTAATACATTTAGTAGGCATGAAATTTACATAGGTCTACGGCTTCCTACCGATTGTCCCTACAACGCAGATCAAATAGATAGCCTTCAACAGTTACGTCTTTTTTTCTGAAAGCTTTAAATTATAATCACATTAATTTTTGTTTTCTTTTGATTTTATAACTGTTTTTACGTACTTTTTGTTTGTTTGCTTGTTTCACTCACTTCAGATGTTTAGCACTAGATTGGCGAACATTTTATTGGGTTCTATTTATCCTGGATCACCGCCATCACGTTTGTCTTTAGCCCTGGCTGGATTGCATACGTTTGTTAACTGCTACTATTCCGTGTATCATACTGATACAGATTCAGGTAGGTGTTTGATTTGTTGGTTTCTGTGTGTGTATGGGCTTATTGAATTATTTTGGCTGGTATTACTAACCAGCTGCCCAAACCATGGGTGTTAATTTCTCTTTAAGGTACCTGAAACAACAAAAAGAGCATTAGTGTTGCGTGACTGGTGACGACCAGAAGGAAACTGCTTGAGACCACCCACACATGGATTGTTTGAAGTCGTTTTTAGGGTTGTGTCCGTCCATATTAAGATCTTACCGTGGACTACTCACCGCCAATGGGTAAATCGTTATGTATCATTTTTAGGGCCGAACTTTTCTAATCACCTGGTCTCCAGAAAGGAGAGAAACCGTATCTTGCTTGTCGATCGTCCTAGGGAAACGTCCTATTGCTGTTGCATACCTATTTCCCATCAGCAAGACTTCACTCACAGACTCCAACGTAGTGTAGGCGGTTATGATAGTAAATGTTATTAGTTTACCTGCTATCCAAACAACTCTACTAGCATTACAGAAACTGCAACCAGTTTAGTTGGTTGCGTTATTGCAGCCAGCCGAGATATCAAGGGATAGTGAGAAAAGGTCTTACCTGTCTGATTCATTTTCAAAGTATCCCTCTCATATTACACGCACAAACTGCTGACTACTACACTTTAGATTCAACAGAGGATGGGACTTTTATATCTCATAATGTGTCTAGTTGTACTGCTAATTAGGAAATCGCAACAGTTTATCATATAGCAGATAGCGGGTAGTGACATTAGTTATATTCCATGATTCGAGTGTTATCTTTGAACAGTCCGAGTAGGGTATCAAGTTAAAATACCGAGATCATATTTAGATTATGGGTTTTTTGTAGGGTTTTGGATTAATTTCAGGTTAAATTTTGTCACCGGCCAACATTACTTGAAGATTCTTGAAAACCCCCTAATGTAAATATCAGTCTCCAGCTCATTGATGGCTACTGGTTGAATGTCTTGAATCTGTACTAAGAAGTCTTGGATAAAAGTGGTCCACCATGTCAATATGAAATGGAAACTGACATTGGTTGAGGATACGTCTATGTTGCTGATTGACAAAAGTTAGGAGGATTCAAAGGTCATTGAATTCCTGTCCAAAGTAGCTGAATGACCAGTTGGCTTGGTCTGAAAACTTAAAAGTCCCTGGTTTTCTATCCCTAGTAGTGGGGTTGCACGGGCATACTGATGAGTTCAAAACTAGGACGAAATAGTTGGCCAGTGTTTCCTGGTTGCGGACAAAATCTTCACTCAACCAAGATAGTGAGTTCGAATCTAACACTATCCAGTAAGATTGTCAGTCAGCAGCTGTTACTAGACAGATGATAAATCTGTTCAGAATTGGATCATACCTCTAAAGTAGACCGAAGTAGTGGAATCAACGTTAAATTTATATATGAAGAAGTTGATGAAATAGAGTATCTTCATATGATAAAAGAAATAATCCCACCAAATGTATTCTATCAACCATTTGAATGTACTGTACTTCTAATGTTTAGTTTAAGCTAACCTATTCATAGTCTTGAAAATCATTTCTGTCTAAGAGGTTAACATATGCGTCAATTGAGTTAACTGACTGTCGAGTAAACAGTTTTATGCTGTGCTTAGGTCTCTATGTTTTGTTATGACTCTGTCGCACTGTTTACACTGAATCATAACTCCATCATAAAATAAATTTATATGATGAAGGTACACAGTGGTACAGCATTACTTGTTTACTGGTAACAACGTCCCAAGCAAGATTTATTGCCCCTAGTCATCGTATGAAGGCACTCATATAACTTCCAAAACTCCATCTATATGATTCCATTATTTCTTATCCTTTGACTTTAAACTGGTTGTAATATTATCCACATCTCGAGTACTGGCGTCGCATCACTGTCCTGTTGCATGCGTTAAGTGTAGACTTGATGAAGAGATAGAGGGAGGGATTCAGTGTTCAACATCTCTCCCTCTCCACCTACCTATGTTACTTTTCACGATTGTAGCTCACTCACTCCCACTCCATTGTGTGGTTGTGTGTTCGTATATGCAGTGTGATTGAGAGTTTTAGTCTAAGTTATTCATCTTTTTGTGATTAGTCGTGCCACACTTAGCTAAATTCTTATCTTCCGATAATCTCACTATTCCCAATCTACTCGTCTAACTGATCTATTTTGTGGGTTAAACTATTTGTCTAATTGGATCGATAAGGTCCTTTAGACAACACAGTTTATCCCTGAGTGAGTTTATGGGTCTAAATAACCACCCTAACTTCTGCTTTATTAAGAATCCTGAGTCAGGTTTCTGATGTCCCTTCTTTATATGGTTGTAAAGCTGTAGACGCCTTAAGTGCTTCCTTATTCATATAATATGGTCAATAGCAGTGCATCATTATGTGAGCTTTTATCGCATAAATTTATTCCATGATGAAATTATACTCTACCAAGTATCCAACTTCTGTTCTTACTATCAATGAGTGATGATAGTAGTTTCAAGCTTGAAATCTATGATATTCTTTGATACCTCAGTAACTCAGTGACAGCTAATTGAACTCTATCAGTATACACTGCATATAATAAACCCAGTGTGAATCTGGAAACCTTTCAGGACAATTTCGTCTCATTTTGATACTACAAGATTCCTATTTATTGCCTTGGGTTCCCCCCATTGGATCTGCTCCTCTCCATTCTATTCTGTGCAATCCTATTCAGCTGGTTACACGATCAGCCCTCAAACTTTCACCTTCTCTTCACAAAATCTCCTCCATATCACCTTTCAGTCTCCTCCCAACTCATAATTTTCCATTTGGGTTCCCTGTTGAAAGCCTGTTTTGTGTGTGATGTCACTCAATGATCTCCTCCTCAGCGTGTGTTCATTCGATCTCCATTTTCTTTGGCAACAGGCTCTTGTTTGGTTTGTTCTCAGATGTTTAGTGTGTTCTTCTGTAAAATTTTCACTTTTATTTTTATTTACTTCGTCTTTTTTTCTCTTTTTACAGAGTTTATGATTCAGATTTTGAAATGTTTAAATATGGCGATGATAAATTTATTCCCTATTATTATTATCAGTAGTAGTAGTAGTAATAATGGAAGTGATGTATGCGGTGAAAATGAATTCAGTCCTACTATTGTCCATTTATATTCCCTTCTGTTAATTGGTTTATTCAGTCGATATGATGTTGATAGAGATTATGCAATGAAAATACTTTTCAGGCTGAAGTTATCAAAGTATATTGTAAGTTATCTTGATTGTCTTTGCATACTTTAATATTATGAGTTGTAATCAAAAGGAAAATGTTTTACTTAAGGAAATGTGATTAAACTGAAAGTTTAATTGAATTTTTTTTAGATTTTCCCGTCGATTAATTGGACCGAAGTGATCAATCTCAGGTTGACATTTCGGCTCCTTGTGTATACGCTTCAACTCTGTCTGGTCATGTAAATTGAAGTCGATTAGTGGATGGTGACTAGCAGTGGAATCCAGGATGCGTATTTCGTCCTAGTTGGGACTCGTCAGCCACTGGATGTACCTGCATTCCCCAGTGAGTGATGATGTTCCCGCTGAGGCTCGAACCCAGTGCCCATACTTTCAGACACCAAAGCGTTATCCATTAGACCACTTGGGCGACGAGAGCCACCTCTTGTGCAACGCGTCATATTAAAAGTTGTAGAATATTTCAGGATTTTATCATGAACTGACATCGGTTGGAGGACTATTGGAAGACCTGGGAGTACTGGATAGCTGTTTCGTTCTAATTTGGAACTCTTCACCGGTACGTATCAGACGCCAGGGTTCGAACCAGGGGCCTCCTGGTTACAAGGCGACCTCGTAGACTATTAAGCCACTGGAAGCCGACCGGATAGTCGATAAATAGGATATTTGATGTCTACATGGTAATGTGGAGGGGAGGGAAGTAATCAAAATAGAAGGACAGATGGCTGCTTGCCTAGGCGAAGTTAAACTTTCGACATTCGAACACTCAGTCAAAAGAAGGCAGCGAAACCAGGAAAATGACACTATATTCGTGAACAAGAAAGTTGAGTGAAGTGTAATGATAGTAAACACAATATATGGTTAGTGGTTTTAGATTATGTAAGGGAGAGATTAAGGCTAGCCTTTGAATGTGGATGGGTTTCGTTAACCTAATTAAGGAGATACTAGGGTTAGGTGTCCATATGTGCCTGTTTAGCGCAATCGCGTTTTCCTAGGTCGTAGGTGCATCTTGTGGGTATCTAAAGTTGAACTTTGCCCTCTGACCGAATGACGTACTAGTAGCAATGGGTATTATCGATTCTTAAATAACATTGGTAATTCCATCTTCAGAAAGCGTCAGTTATTCTCAAACCCTGTCTTCTCTGCTTTCTTTGTTCAATGAAACTTTATTGTATTTTCCTTCATTTCATTGCATATGAATATCTGCCTGACTGAGTTGCAATTTAGAAGCTTGTACCACAGAAGTGCACCATTTTAAGGTACCACACTCTTTGCAGCACACAAATGTAGGGAAGAAAAATAAGAGGATATTCAAAGGAACCATAATGACTCGATGGAACTTCAAGATGGTCTGTCCATATGAAACCCACATGTAGCGGTTAACTCACAGGTCTCTACAGTTAAGTAGTGCCTGTTGAATGAAAACTAAATTTGATTAAATCCCTTGCCACTCTCATGAGACATATTTAGAGCCATAATGCTCTAGAAGAAGAATTAGACTTTATGAAGGAAATTTACATGCAAAATCGATATCCATCGAGATTTGTTGACTTAAACATCAACTCGAAAATTCAGAGAAACATTATTCGTGTTGAAAAAAGAAACTTTACATGAACCATGATTTCAACGGAGACTTAGCCTGTAATGTCCATAAGAGAAGAATTTCAACACCTTTGAGCAGAACATTTTTTGCGTCAATACTAAGAGTAGTGTTCTCTAGCCGTCTCCTGGTCTGAGATCTCACGTCTGACCACTTCCATGTGCAAATATTAATTCACGTGTTCCAATGGGACCATGTATATTGATCGTCCGATGCGTATCCTGTCTAAAAGGGTTCAAGAACACTATTTTGCAGAATTGCACAAAAATTGCAGTGCTTCTGTAAGGAGTGCGATTATTGACCACCCTGTCGAAACTGGCCATTCTATCCCAACAGACTCCTTTAAATTAATCCACCAAGTGAAGAACAGCCTGTCAAAGACAGCAGGCTTTCATCTACTCTGCATTCAATCAGAGAAACTAGAGCTCTGCATACGAAAGCGAAATTATTCAGTCATTTCTACTATCACGGTAACAACCTTATTGATTTCTACCTTTCTTAAACACTGTTAATAGTGTGTACTTATACATCGAATTTTTAGTGATTACGTTCGACTAAATTTACCTTGAACCTCGGTGGGTTGAACCTCGCGACAGATCCTAATCGGGTGCTCTCGGACGTGTACGTTTTGTCAGCGAGGAGGCCTCACGGTCCCCCCGTTACAGTGCGTCGGTGGCACTGCGGTTAGGACTCTCGCTGACCATGCACATGGTCCGGGGTTCGGTCCCCCGCCGACGCATACCTGATATCAATGGTTGGCCTGCGAAATTTGGGCTACCGATATCACATACTGAAAATTCCATACTTGTACCGAAAATACGGTGTGGAGTCAATCTATAATCATGAAAAATTAACCCTTATATTTCTTCTGGAGATATTCGCTCGTTTCTATGAGCATCCTGACTACAGCTCATTTATTAAATTATTCACCTTATTACGTAACTCTAACACCCTTACTCTTTCATCTATTGAATGATGTCAGTAATTATGATTATGACAAATCATCACTTTTATAACTATCCTCTTATATAAAAAATTGTATATAAATACGATTGTATGGTTGAAGAAAGTGAATTCATCGAAAAGTGTTTACTTGACTCATTTTCTGATCATCTAATAAGTTATATCTGGTGAATTGAATCATTCATGTTTATCTGATTTACTTTCTTCCACGCAAGTAATACACATATATGTAATGACAGAAGACAAGGGCCAGGTAACAGATCGTTTATTGAGAAAGTCAACAGATATTTATAGATTTTTATGTACATTATTAGCATTTTTGTTAGCAGAGAAGCAAAGTCGTCTGATTGGCTGTTTTCCTGGTGAAGGTTGTTCTCTTATCTCTCTGTGGCCGTTTCTTAGAAAGTTGAGCCATAAATCTGCGAATTGTATCCGCCCACGGTAAAGTATGCTATGATTCCTTGTTGAGTTCCTCAAGGTTAAGCCTTGTCCTTGTTTTTTCTCATGACTCCAATTTGGATCGTAAGCATTGATGTCAGTTGTTCTCTAAAAATTTTGTCTTGCAGACTGCTCGCACCACACACATAGATCGCGTTGTCTAATACAGCAAATATATTTTTTTAAAATAAATTCTTTTTTAGAATCCTGAGCACATAATGCACTTGTGGAACAATACACTAACTCTGTATACACAAAGCTCAAGACCTGATATCAGTCCTGTTGGTAGTGATGTATTACGTTATCTGGTATATGAAAGTTTTTCATTCCCTGTCATATCAACGTGTGGATATTTTATTGACATTGAGAAGAAGAACAAGGATACTTCACTTTATCAACTGAATAGTAGTCAATCTACAGATGATAAAGCAATTAGTGCAATTTTCTACTTGTTAGATGTTCTTGAAGAACAAATTGAAGCTTGTGAACGTCGTCCAAATCTATCAATTATGGCTGTTGTATCTAGTCGACCATTTTATGCTATGCTTAATGCTATACGTTCTGTTCTCGGTGTTATGCCATCTTCATCGGAGAGTCAGAAGAGTAAAGATGAAGTGAAGAGTACTCTCTGTGATGAGGAATATCTAATGATGAAGACGTGTTTACAGAGAAGGTACAAATTGTTTGTTTTGCTGCTTGTTTTAATGTTGAATACTTACATCACTGTGAAATTTTTCATTTTTCCATACCACTTTTTGCTGTAGTAGATATATTTTCAGAAGATGACGTCGGTTAATTGAAATACTGACTTCCAAGTATTAGTTTGTAGGGGTTTTATTTGGTTGGTTAGAGGAACTGACATCAGTTAGAGGACCACTGAAAACTAATTGTGAGTACTGGACAGCTGTTTCGTCCTATTTTGTGACTCTTCGTCAGTACGCACCCTGCGGAGTTGGAACTAAGGACCTTCCGGTTATAAGGCGACCTCGTAGACCGTTAAGCCACTGGGACCGATCCACTGGCCAGCCCATAAATTCTAACTTCTGCCAATTCACGACCTAACGCGACCACTAGCCAATGTCGTCGGGGAGTATTTATCTTCACACTCGACCTGCAACACCCTACTGGCAACGACGTCCCACTAAAACTTCAGGGAACCTAAGTTTTCCAATGGTTCTCTAACCGATGTCAGCTCATGATGAAAACCAGTAACCAATTAATTAAATCCCCACAAACCAATACTTAAAGATCAATGAGATGCTGACTAGCAACTGGCCTTATTCAGGTAGGTAGTTACCTGGGGCTGTAGTGGGAAGCCGTGACCAGTAGGATATAGCAATTTGAAGGTGAGGACAGTTTCTCATGGTAGAAGACATTGCGAAGTGGTTGAGCACACACTCTAGGCTACTTGTATTGGAACTGATTGTTTCTTTGACTTGAACGTTGACCCTTTGTGTGTGAGGTTTTCTTCTTATCGGTTGGTAAATTTTGTCTATCTTGATGTGTCTATTGATTGGCGATTCACTGGAATACCAGGTTTCTAAAAATTCCCTATCATTTTTGGTGTTTCCTCTACCTAATATTTTAACGTTGTCTCAGTAGAACTGATGTCCGTGGTTATCTGTGTGTAATGATATGAGGGAGTGGAGGATGTGTCTTTTGACGGCTAGCTTATGTTCATGGATACGAAGACGAAGGTGAAGTCTTTTTATGTGTTTCTGGATTGTTACTGTTGTAATTCAGTATTTGGTCCGTGTGAACTGATTTTCTAAAAACTGAGTTTCTATAGAAAATCAACTGTATATTGTATACAAAAACTATTCCAGAGGGCCGGGACTCATTGAAGATTGAAAGTGCCCACCACTAAAAACCAACCCAACAACTCATCATCACTAACTTGTCATTAATCCCTACATCTGGAGATCATCTGAATAACTTCATAGTCTTTTATTCTCCAGAGAGAGTTTGAAATCTAACAGATCCCTGTTAGTTTGAATCTGGCTTAACTAACTTTCACTTCTGGTATTTCCAAGTATCAGTCTAAAGGAATGTCATTATTAATTAGCACACTAATTTTTTTCATGAATTTCAACCTCCGGTTGGTAGACAAGTTATTTTATTTTTTATTTGTTAATTTCATTTGTCATTTCTAGTACCTTGTTTAGAAAAGTCAATGGAAAGTGTATTCTACAGCGTATTATCTTCTTAGGTATTCGTATTTCCGAAATCGTCCTACCGATTGTTGGACATGAATCACCTGAAGGTATTCTTCTTCAACCAGATTGTATGAATGACAATAATAATGTTAATGAGGTAAATTAGTTGATTTCTATTCATATTTTGATGTATAGATATCTATTTGTTTTTACGAATTCGACCACGGATTGATATCAGTTAGAGAACCTTTGAAAGTCAGGGAGTACTGGACAACTGTTTCCTCTGTCCTAGTTTTAGGAATCATCGACAATACACACTCACCACCAGGGTTCGAACCCAAGACCTTCTGGTTACAAGTCAAGTTCGTGGATCATTCAGCCACTGGGATCCGATGCAATAGCTCATGAATTCTAACTGCTGCCAATTCATAATTTCAGCGTGATCATCAACCAATGTCATCGGTGGGAACTCCATTCTCACACTTGACTTGATGGACCTTACTGATCACGACTTCTCACTAGAACTCCAGGAAACTCTGTCCTGTGCGTACTGCCGATGATTCTCAAACTAGGGTGAAACAGCTGTCCAGTAGTCCCTGGTTTTCAATGGTTCTCTAAGTGATATCAATTCGTTGTCAAACTCGTAAAAACAAATCTAACACTTACAAACCAACTCTTGCTTAATTAATATTATCTTCTCTATATTCTGATATTTTAACTGCATTGATTTTCTCAGGGTATTTCCCATAGTAGAAAAGAATGTGTACTGCTCATCAGTCCGCTCCGTCCTCCTTTATGGTTGTGTGACCTGGCCACTCAGAGTGGAAGACATGAAAAGACTAGCTGTCTTTGATCATAGGTGCCTGCGCTTTATTCCCCGTGTAAAGTGGCATAATAAGGTGAGCAACATTGAAGTTAGGTGTCGAGTTCTAGGTAAACAGGGGAAATCAATCGACGAAGTCGTGAAGTTACAAAGACTGAGATGGTTAGGACATGTGTTACGTATGCCAAGCCATCGCCTCCCTCGACAATGAGCAATGTTATCGGATATGGGGTCAGGCTGGGAAAAAGCTAGCGGCGGTCAAACAAAAACTTGTCACCAGTCAATGAAATCTACAACAGTTAGTCTAAGTCACGTAGGAAGGTGTAGACTGGTGCCTGGTTGGGGTCCTCGGGACGGTAAAAGTCTATGGTTGGAAACAATTGGTGACATGGCTCAAAATCGTTCTCAGTGGTGCAGATGCATCCACTCCTTGTGACTTATGATCTCCAATGAAACTGTTTTGTTCTTCGTTATTACTCCTCCTTTGTCTCACACCTCTCCTCACTGTCTCTATTATGCTTTTTTTGTACTTTCTTCTCTTGCTTCGCGTGCTACACGGAGTGTGGCGACTTGAACTTCCGCACATTTGTGCAAAGTTCTATGTCGAAAACAGATAGACAGACAGACAGACACTGTGTGTGCGTGTATGTGTAACCTGTGATCTATCTGTTTTGTTATTATTATGGTTGGTATTGTAACTGAATTCTAATAATTTCGATTGGTTGATTGATAGATTATCGATTTATGTCATATGGCAAAATAAACTGTTGGACTTCTATGCTAATGTTATGTCTTAGACGTCATTATTTCATATTTGATTTTGGTAGTTTCCACGGTCTCTGCATGTATATATTCCAATAATTCATCCTGGAGAGTATAAAAGATGCACTGGATGCACAACTTCGCCCCTCTGGAACAAGGTGGATTCAGGAAAGGCAAATCATGTGCTGATCGAATTGCAACTCCTCGCGTCATCATCACAGGATAAAGCATAGCAAAACCTCTACCTCAATTTCATCGACTTCCAAAAGGCCTTCGGCTGGCAGCATTGACCGAGAAGTAATTTGGAAACTGCTTCTACCCTATGGCGTGCGGCGCCCAAGTCTTTATCAACCACATCCAACAGCTGTCCGAATGACAATGCCACATGTGTCAGGTAATCCACAACGGAAAACTCAGCGAAGCGTTTGAAGTGAATACAGGAGTAAGACACTGATGGCTGTCTATTATCACCGATGATATTCCTAATTGTGGTGGATTGGATTGTGAGTGGAAGCAAGGAGACAGGAATATACCGGACCACCGATAAGAAGACTCTAGAAGATCTGGATTTCGCGTGTAGATGATTTATGTCGTGTGTCGCAGAAACTCGAAGGCTTGCAGGCAGGCAAAAACTAACAAACTTTTATCAACAGCTACCTTCACTGGCTCCATAATCAAGATCAAATGGCCAGAAAGAATTAGCAGCAGGAAATTATGGAAACAAACCAACCAAGAGCCGATTGCTCAGCATATCTGTATGAGAAAATGGAGACGGATCCGGCATATGTTGAAGAATTCATCGAATGATATCGCTCGCAGTGCAAGCCATCGCTCTAGTGGAATTCCAAAAAGAAGGGATGAATGGGTCGTCGGTTCAAGGGTGACATGGAGGAGATCGTGTGTGTATGGGGGGGGGAGGAGATGAAAGATTTGGACAGTCGTGGGGTAGGCTGAAGAGGACTGTAGAAAATAGAAGGAAGTGGAGATGTGTTGCTGAAGTCCTGTGTTCCATTCGGAACCTAAGGGAATAATTATAATGAGAAGAAGAATATTCCAATAAAGGGATATCAATGTCAATTTCACTTGTCTGGTAAATTCCAAGAAGAATGTAAGCTTCCATGCATAGTTGTTATCTGAAAACATATAAAAGGGTAGAAGGTAGAGAAATGTGATTTTATTTCCTGCAGCAGTGAAGTGTAGGTGCTTCTGTATTTTTCCCCTGTCATTGTCTTTTACAGTGTTATTACTTGAATTAATGGGCATTATTATCATCATTATTATCCCCTTGAGTTCCCAATGATGAAACATAGAGCTTTAGCAGCACATTTCCGGTTCACTTTCTTCTCTGTAGTTTTATTTAGTTGGTTCCATTTTAAACCACAGACTTTCATCTCCTCCTCACAAAATCTCTTCTCTGCCAACGTCGGACCAACACTTAAATCGTCTTTTCTCATTCACAAGTTCCACTCTACAGTCTGTTTGGAGTGTTATGCCATTCAGCGATCTCCTCAACTTATGACTCATCTATCTCCATTTCCTTCTGCAGATTTATTGGTTGATAGGTTGTTTGTTGGTTCATTACCGGAGTTACTCGTTGTTAATCGTTTCTCGCCGTCTGATCTTCAGTATATTGAGACCATGAGGACAGCTGTTGATAAAATGCTGAAGCCTGTTCGAAAGAGCATTTATTTTATTACAATTTAATTGACTGTATCAGTTTTCATTATTTACATATACCTAAATTTTACGCGTTCCTTTTTAACCTTTTTCTAGGAAGAATATTCTAACAGTTTAGACGATGATGATGAATCCAATGTATACAAAAAGACATTAAAAAATCCAGAATATCTTATTCTGTGCTGTTGGCGTTCTGTTCGTGAATTATCTTTACTTATGGGTGTATCACTTGTATCGTATTGTGATTTCAGTGAAACTGAAACTGAGCCTTCTGGTGACGACTATCGAATGAAACCGAGTGAGGTTGGTGGATTACTTTCAGAATAACAAATATTTTTGTTTAGATAAAGCAATAAGAAGGCGTAATTTGTCTGAATCGTGTATTGTATGTATTTGCGCAACACATTCTGAATAATCTGATCGCAAACGGATATGTCTTAGGAATATATACACATAAAATAATTAAGAGTTAAGGGTTGAGAAAGTAGACTTATGTCAAATTAAAATGATATATTGAAAGTCAAAATAACAGTGAACATCACTAAACTAAGTGGGAGAGGTAATAGTATATCTACCTTGACTGGTATCAAACAAAATTTACCAATGAAGGTTTAATGTGATGACGAATTGTTTTTGATGAATACACAAAGGTGGTTTAAACTTCCTAATCGCCAGGGCTTCCACAAACTTTTGGATAGGTTCGAAACACGTTTTATGGATAGGTTTAAAAGACGTGCAAACATCAATTTTATGTTCTGTCTCTATAATTTGTTTCGCAGTAAAGAAGCCAGGTCGTCTGTTCTTACCATTAATGGGTTCTGGGGATTCTATTCGCTACTAAAGCCATTTAGGAATATGCTCTAAAGCCAGCCCTTACTTGCAGAGATCGACGAGTCCTCGCTATGTATTTATATCGACACCTACATTCAAATTGGTAAATACAATGGGATATGTTATCATTTTTCGCATGTTCTAAGGGCTTAGATAGATATATGGGCTTAACATTCTTAGCTGCGTAAAAAGTCTTTTTAACCTCAGCATTCGACCGTTGTCGAGTTAGCAAGTTTCTATAATCGCCCATATATGGTAGCTTCACATATACCTCTTTCTTAGTGGCAAGTTGGAGAGTGGTCTCGGTGTTCCGACTATATTATATCTTCTAATGAACTTATCTGGATAACTATCATTAACTGGAGTTTGTGTCAAGTGTGTCTTCGGCGCATATTTGTTGGATTCTACTTGACTTTACCTCTGCTAAAATAATGCAGTTGCGTCTCTGTATTACTATTATTACCTTAGGTTTCAAGAGAGACTTTGGGACGTCAAAAACACATCTCCACATTATCCTATTCTATTCAGTCTTTTTCTACTAGCTAAATGATTGCTCAGAAGTTTTTATCGCCTCACACGATATCATACATATCACTCTCAGACCCTCATCTAGTTCTCTCCCACTCTGGTTCCACTTCAGGGCCTAACACGTGATGTCATTCAACTGTCTCCTCAGTGTATATCCAATCTGTCTCCATTTTTTTCGTCATATTCTTGGTCAGTTAGTTTTTGCTTATCCTTTCTTGTCAGCCATCCGACGGTCTTCAGTATCGAGCCGGCGAAGGCAGCTGTTTATGGAAATCTGCTGTAGGCCTACTGGAAATGGTCTTAGTGACACACGTCCCAAGCCACTGAACCATATGGAATTATTGACTGACTTGACATTATTATTGAAAATCAAACTGTCATCTTTTATTCTTAGTGTAGCAAAGCTCCATGGGGATTTCAGATTAATGAATTTCTGCCTTGCCTTCTTGATCTTCGCTAGTTCAGTAGTTGGCTAGCAGGCTACCCAATCAGGCCAACAGTTGACTTTAGGAACACTCCGATGTACAACAGCTAAATAGCCGGTACTTAGCCAGAAAAGGATGGAAATTCGCACATAGGGCTAGCAAACTCACCCCAGAACATTAAACTGATCGATATAGAAATCTCAAAAAACACACAGAGAGGAAATAAACAAAATTAATCAGTCTCTGTGGTAGAGTGTAATTCTATCGTAGAATAATTTTATTATCTAATAACTTACACAGTAGCACAGTGTAATTAATCAAGTTGCTTTGATAGTGATTATCAGCTATAAATTGTGCTTGAAATAATCATTAGTAAATAATATTGTTTTACTGTGCCTTTATCAAATACATTTATTCAATGATGTAACTATACCCTACTGTGTCGAACAAATCTGAATCTTATTGGTGTTGTGGTGTTCTCTGAACTATGGATGGTCTAGTGGCGAAGCTTTCATCGTCTTTTCAGGCAACGTCTTCAGTGCATACTCAAAATTTTTTAGTGGGGCAGTGAAATCTTTGCAACTAAACCATCTATCTCAGAGAAAAAACATCTACACCAATATTACCCACCTAAGTTCACATCTTTTCCATCGTATCTAAATCTGAATTTTTAGCTACAGATCACGTCATTTGACCCATACACCAACATCTTTAGATTAACATGTCCTTAGTCGAGATATAGCGATTTGACTTATGCACTTCCCTTCGGCCAACGGGTCGCGGGTTCGAGTTCCTCTTCAACTTAGGCAACTGGGTGGTATCATTAACGTCCCCATGGAAAGGGTGGCCTACAGCCCAGTACTGGATAATTGAAAACTAACCAACTCACTTGTCCTCATGAGATTATTCATATTAGTACAGGATGACCATATTGGCCATCCTAACGAATACACAAGTCTCTTAACCGTAACATTGACGGTGGATTACTTATCTACTTTTGGTTTATAATACTTTTTTGTGGATCATTTGTAAGAACGATATGTCATCTAATCACTATGGTGTATGTGTGCGTGCATGTGGTCGCTTCTGTTCCCATCTGAAGACCTTTCTTTCCTATGCATCCAACACCTCCCTGAATGGGATATAGATACAGGTCCTCCGTCACTAACTGAGGTTACTAAAGCTGTCACCAATCTGAAACTAGGCAAAGCAGCGGGACCTGATGGAATGACGCCAGAGGTATTTAAGTACGGTGGAGACAGCTTACTGTCCGGATTAACTGAGGTACTAGGCAGCGTTTGGGAATCAGAAGAAGTCCCATCGGGTTGGTGTAAGTCACTGATTATCCCCATATACAAGAAGGGAGACAAGTCTTCCTGTGATAATCACAGAGGGATTAGCTTGACTAATATAGTATCTAAAGTCTTAGGCTCAATAATCATGCGTAGACTGAGTGGTGCTCGGGAAGCACAAACACGAGAGAGCCAGGCAGGCTTTAGACCAGGAAGAGGGTGTATTGATCATATCTTCACCCTCCGACAGATTCTAGAACATAGGCATTCCTACCGGCGTCCAACAGTCATTATATTTCTTGACCTAAAGGCAGCATTCGACTCTGTCGATCGGGAAGTTCTCTGGAGATGCTTGGCTGTAAAGGGAATTCCAAGAAAATATATTGCACTGATTAAGGCACTCTACTCGTACTCATACAGCCAGGTGAGGGCTTACGGCGAGCTGTCATCTGAACTGATGACGACCAGTGGTGTCCGTCAAGGATGCCCATTATCTCCTTTTCTATTCAACTTCATCATAGATGTGTTAATGGACTTAACCCTAGGTGACTTCAGCGACTCAGGGATTGACTTGCTACCGGGGAATAATCTCGTTGACTTGGAATATGCAGACGATATAGTCCTTCTAGGCGAAGACGCTGACGAAATGCAGAGTCTTCTAAACACCTTGAGCCGCAATCTACGAATGTTTGGCATGCGATTCGCTCCCGCCAAATGCAAGATGATGTTACAGGACTGGACTACATCGACGCCTAGTTTAAAAATAGGAAGTGAAGTGGTAGAGCACGTTGACCGCTTCACTTATTTGGGAAGTACCATCAGCCCCAACGGGCTGATCTCTGACGAAATCTCAGCACGAATACAAGGGGCTCGTTTCGCATTTGTTAGTTTACGCCGACTCTGGCGTAGACGAGATGTTCGACTATCGACCAAAGGGCGGGTGTACTGCTCATCAGTCCGCTCCGTCCTCCTTTATGGTTGTGAGACCTGGCCACTGAGAGTGGAAGACATGAAAAGACTAGCTGTCTTTGATCATAGGTGCCTGCGTTCTATTTCCCGTGTAAAGTGGCATAATAAGGTGAGCAACATGGAGGTTAGGCGTAGAGTTCTAGGTAAACAGGGGAAATCAATCGACGAAGTCGTGAAGCTACAAAGACTGAGATGGTTAGGACATGTGTTACGTATGCCAAGTCATCGCCTCCCTCGACGAGCTATGTTAGCGGATATAGGGTCAGGCTGGAAAAAAGCTAGCGGCGGTCAAACAAAAACTTGGCATCAGTCAATGAAATCCACAACAGTTGGTCTAAGCCACGTAGAAAGGTGTAGACTTCCAGGCTGGGGTCCTCGGGACGGTAAAAATCTATGGTTGGAAACAATTGGTGACATGGCTCAAAATCGTTCTCAGTGGCGCAGATGCATCCACTCCCTGTGACTTATGATCTTCAATGAAACTGTTTTGTATTTCTTTATTACTCCTTTGTCTCACACCTCTGCTCACTGTTTCTATTATGCTTTTCTTGTACTTTCTTCTCTTGCTTCGCGTGCTACACGGAATGTGGCGACTTGAACTTCCGCACATTTGTGCAAAGTTCTATGTCGAAAACAGACAGACAGACAGATACCGGTTGGTTACCTTCATCACCTCCGTCTTTCTATGTTTACCCGGAGTCTGTCTTGGCTAATTCCACAGCTAGTTTGTTGCTTTGTCTATATCCTTGTGCTTATACACGCTACTCTAATCACCAAATCGTTGTATGTCCAGAAGTCTGCGAAGAGTCCCCCGCTATCATTCACTTCGCCGAAAGCCTCTCAACCATGATGAGATCTCTTTCTGTATTGTCTGCTCTCCGTTTGACATTCATATTGGCCATAAAGATTTGATGTCACTATTTGGGATGTTGTTCATTGGTGTTTGTAGTTGTTTATCTTCCTTCTTCTCTTGTTCTGAGTTGTTTGTAGGCGCCAAGCATTGGATAATTGCAACCTAACATCTTTTTGAGTTGAATCTCTCCGCCATAATCCTGGAGGAGATTACCCCACTGCAGAAGAGCATTGATCGCTGTTGATGAAATCATTATGGCAACTTTCTCGATTTGCTCGTAGTCGTCGTCATGGTGAAATCCTCCATACAATCGAAGTCCTGTTTCGCAATAGTTTTAGAATTCTCAGAAGTACGCAGCCATGACCCCGCCTGGGATCCAACCCAGAAACTTTAGGTTATTAGATGAGCTCGTTAACCACATAGCCACTGGGACTGAAATTCAATAGCTAACGATTCCCGGCTCATGCTAATTCGTCAGATTTAACACCATCTCCAGCCAATATATCTACGGAAATTTAGCATTATATAATAAGTACCTGAAGATAGAAGGTAATATGTTAAATATACAGGTTTGTTAATATTCCTAGGTTTATGGACAACCCTCCATTTTCGTAAACATTCGTACTTATTTCTTCAACTTTAATAAATTTCATCTGTTTGCATGATTTGAGTTCATGCTTCCACCGTTAAACAACATGGTATTGTAGCGTGTACTACTGATAAGATTTATCAATAGTATATAAATAGACGTTCGTTGGCATAAAATCATCAAATAGAGGGGAGTAAGATTTGACGCCAGAGAAAGCAAATGATTTAGCGTTGTGGAGATACATGGGAGACGTGAGAGGAACTCAAAGAAACACAATGTGAAAGAAGGTCAAAAGTAACACAACACGGACGATCATTGCAAATGGTGCGTAGAAGATAAGGTTTACATAATTTCTCTATATAAGTGATACCTAATTTCAAAGAAACATTCTTTATCAAGTCCCTGGTCTTCTACCGTTACAGTATCGCTGATGTTGGGTGAACTTCGATCTTCTACTTTACTGTCGTGTAGCTACGTGTTCATTCCCTTCGCCAAGTAAGTTCTCTCCCCTGCCTTCACATGACTGGCGTGTTTCCCACAAAATTAAAGAGGCGAATGCGAACGTGGACATACAGGTCTACCTTGGGCAGCTAGAAAATCCTGGTTTCAAACATATAATGTACATATGTTCCAAAATCTGGACGAATTTTACAGTGTATGAACCTGTTTTGGACAGCGGAAGCCATAGGAACATCGCTTCTGGTGCTGTTCCATTGTGCCCGTGTAATATCTCTGCCCTAACACAAACTATGAGCTTATGTGCTGTTCATCTCATGGTTTGTGTTTTCAATAATTTCACAACATGTAATCCGGTATCAATGATGTTTAACTTCTTGTAATATGACTATTTTCCTTTCTGCAGATCTTCCAGATTTGTCATTTCTTCTGCACTCAGTTGCTACGTTGTCGTCATCGTGGAGCCTTTGAAATGTGTGCTAATGGATTCACTAATTTTTGTAGTGCACTTGTAAAGTCAGTGAATAGTTATTTATTTTTTTTGATATCAGTATATTGTAATTGATGATATATGTCTGTAGAAAATACCTTTAATTTTAGTAATAGGCGCAGATGTTGCACATTGGCTTATTGATTTGACTTCTTGCCTATGGGGTTTCAGGTTTGAATCGATCTCCACATACTTCAGTCTGGGCAGATGAGTAGTATCTTTAGCCCTCACGGGATCTATGTGCCAGTGAGGTGAGTTCTAATTCACTGACCAGTAAGCTGCCAATAACGCACACACACATGTTTACGACTTGTAGCTACAGTGAATGATTTAACCCGAAAAAATTTAGTGACTGACTATTAAGTTGTAATAAAAAAGTCATGCTAAAGAGGTGGTCCAGTAAGTCAGGCGTGAAAACAGATACTGGAAACCTGCTCATCTTGACTTAGCATGAAAGTTCTGTGTTCATTTCCTCTTAATAGTGTGGTGAGGTTATAGGTGTATAATGGTGAAGAGTTCAAAACTACGACAAAGCATCTTCCTTCAGCACTGTATTGTTTTTCAGTGGTCCTTTAAATGATGTATGTTTCTTGACGGAACTTATTTTGAGGCAATGTCTAGCTTGAGTTTGAAGCATTATACATCAAAATTCGATTGCTGGGACTAAACAGGTCACATATGATTGTATCAGAAGTGAATAGTGGTCCTTCCATTCATATTATTAGCGTGAATATTATTCCTTCAGTTTCGAGTGAAACATGGGCTTCAACAGCTTATCCCCATTTCATTCTGTTCTCTACACCTCACGATTATCTATGAGGTTTTCATCTCGTCTTCAGATCTCTTCCATTTCACCGTCAGACTTATGCTCAACTGGTTGTTTACCATTTGAGTTCCACTTATACTACGTAGCATGTAATGTTACTCAATGGTCTCCTCAAGGTGTGTCTCATCTATCTCCGTTTACCTTCGCATCTTTGTCTGGCAGTAGGTTCTTAGTTAGTTCATTGCTTACTAGTGCTCCTTGTTGTTAATTCTTTCCGGTTGGCCGACCATCTGATCTTCATTTTGCAGAGAAGACACCCGTTGGAAAAAGTTTGTGGCAGTTTGTTAGAAATGATTTTGGTGACGCGGATGATATAGTCCTTCTGAGTAAAGACGCTGATAAAATGCAGGGTCTTCTGAACACCTTGAGCTGCAATCTGTCAATATTTGGCATGCGATGGGCTCCCGCCAAACGTAAGATGATGCTACAGGACTGGGCTACATTGATTCCAAGCTTAGAAGTAGGGAGTGAAGTAGTTGGTGGATCGTGTCGGCCACCTCACTTATTTGGGAAGTTGCATCGGCCCCAAAGGGTTGATCGCTGACTAGATCTCAGGACGGATACAGAAGGCTCGTTTCGCATATTTCAGTATACGCCATCTCTGGCGTAGACGTGATACCCGGCTATCGACCAAAGGGGTGTGTGTACTGCTCAGCAGTTCGCTGCTACCTGCTTTATGGCTGTAAGACCTGGTCGGTGAAAGTGCTTTTGCTTTTCACGATCGAAGAAGAGTCGGATTCTTCGTTTCACTTTCTTGATGTTAAGCTAGATAGAAGAGAGAACGGAACGCTTCTAAGGTCGATTTACCGAAAGCCAACATTCACTGGGCAGTACACTAACTTCAACAGTTGGGTACCTTTAGGGAGAAAGATAAATCTTATTCACTCCTTATACTGCAGAATTCGTAAAATCTGCTCTCCAGAGACAATCGATAGGGAACTAGATAACCTTCGATCAAATCTCCTTAACAATGGTTATCCCACAAGGTTCATTAAACATAACATCAAGAAAGAATCCACCCCGAGACAAGTCACAGTACCAAGGAAAAAGCTGTTTATGAGTCTTGCATTCAAAGGTGACACCATTTCAGAATTGATTAAAAATCGTTTATCTAAATGTGTTAAACGCACTTTTTCTGCAGCTGACTTGCAGCTAGTTTTTACCAGCCGAAATATGATTAGAGAATGCGTCAAGGATAGATTACCGCTTTTGTCCACATCTACGTGCATTTACTCTTTTACCTGCTCTTGTGGAGCTGTTTATATTGGACGTTGTAAGCGTAATCTCCGAAAACGTGTAGCTGAACACTATCCGGTTTGGTTAATGAAAGGCGAACGTAGAACTGCAAAGTCGTCTATTTGTGATCACCTGTTAGAGTCTGGTCATTTAGCCCCACGTGATTCATCTTTCAAAGTTATATACATGGCAAAATCGAATCGATCCAAAAGTTTACGTTTTCTTCACTTATGCATAGCCGAAGCTTTAGCCATACATGAACAGAAACCTAAATTATGTGTTCAAAAGCGTTTTGTCAAACCCCGTTCTTTACCTTGGTCATAATAATTTTCTTTCTAGTTTTTATTTTATTTTACCACTTGAATTCTTTCCACTTCACTTCACATCTTCATTCTTATCGTAATCGTACTCCTAATTTTCATAATTTTTAGACAACACTTGACATTTTTGTTATAGAACAATCTTTAATATTTTGTAATTTATCCACTTCAACTCTACCCCTTATAACTTTCATCACATATACGTACATTGACTGAGCAATTATTTAGTGCCACTTAATAACCTTTTTCCGTAATATAAATACGACTGTACAGCTTGAAAATGAAGTCGTTGAAGAGAAATTTCTTCGCTGAACAAAAACTGTGTTTTTACTTATGAAAGTGGAAGACATGAAAAGATTAGCTGTCTTTGATCATAGGTGCCTGCGCTCTATCTCCCATGTGAAGTGGTATAATAGGGTGAGTGATATTGAGCTTAGTCATTGGTCGAGTGCTGGGTGAGGAGGGGAAATCAGCAGACGAAGCTGTGAAGTTACACCGATTGAGTGAGACGTTTAGGACATGTGTTACGTATGCCTAGTCATCGCCATCCTCGACAGGCAATGCTAGCTGACTGACATGGGATGGATTAGTTTGGAAAAGAGCCAGTGTTGGTCAAACGGAAACATGGCTTCATCAGTTCATGGAATCCATAACAGTCAGTTTAAGCCACGTGGGAAGGTGTAGACTTCCTGGCTGAGGTCCTTGGAGCGGTAAAAACCAGTGAAGGCTGGAGACACTTGGTGATATGGCTCAAAATCCTCGTTCTCAATGACTGGCACAGATGCATCCACTCCTTGCAACTTACAATATCCAATAAAACTATATGGTTCTTCGATGTTACTATTGTTTTTGTCTCACATCTCTGTTTACTGTCTCTATTTTGCATTCCTTTTTACTTTCTTTTCTTGCTTTATGTGCTGAGTAGTGTGTGGCGACTCGAACTGCTGCACATCGGTGCGAAATTGTATGTTGAAACCAGTCAGGCAGGTGACGCTGGCACTGAGCTTTTGTACTATGCGGAAGCACTGAGTAACCTGACGCTAGTAATAAAAGTTCTAATATTGTTCCTTGTGCTGAGTTCAACAAATTTCCACAGTGATTTCAGAGTATTGAAGGTCTAATATGCAGGTTTAATATACAGTATAGTAACGAAAATGGATATGGGAAGAAAGGATGTTTTGGTTGAAGAGTGTAGGAGAATGAATCAGTAAGCCTTCTCACATAATACATTCAAAAATGGCCTAGTAGTTTAAACACTTGACTTTTATAACCAGTAAGTCCATGCTTCGAGTTTGACTCAAGCTGCTTCAACTTGTGCAACCGGTTAGTATCTCCATCCTCTTAATTGAAAAGTCTGTTTCAAATTATTGGATACAGATAAATAAAAATGACTTCAATGACGTTTTGTTTTAAATCTTAATTTATGTTATTCTTTTCAGTTGTATTCTTTGTTATTATTTTTACAATTTGAAGGCATCCAAAATATCGTGGAATCCCACTGAATTGGCTTAATACAATTACTGGTCAAAAACTTTTGAATAATGAAGATTCGTCAAAAAATTCGAGTATAGTAGGCGGTATAGATTTTTCATTAAATGCTTGTATGGGTGAACATGATATTGTTAAATGTGTCACTCGTCGTGGGGCTGGTTGTCCCCTATTCATTCAGGTACGTCAATGTACTTGCCTTGTATATATATATATATATATAACTTATTTTGACTGTAATATGGTTAATTCCATTGCGTTTTTGCTGGTGTGATTTAGTAATTCTTCTATCTCTCCATTTGAATCATCCTTTATCTGTCTTTCCACTTTCTACAGGCAATCTTAAGTGCAGAGTTAGCTCATGATTCCAATGGGTTAACAGTATTTGCTGATACATTACATTGTTTTCTTACTGCAGTTAGGTCACCACTTTCTGAACCTGTCGGACTATGCCAATCGGAGGATGAATTGGTGAGTTCAGATAGGTGTATTTGACCTTTTTATTGTTAATAAATTGATATATTATATTTACCGCATGTGAAAAATACTCTTTCTAAGTACATTCTTTCCGATGATACAGGACAAGTGAACCGCCAAGGAAAGCTTAGAGATGTTTGTGTTGTGAAGGCAGGAGTAACTAAGACAAGACCGTCTACTGTCACCTATAATAATCCTGATTGTTGCGAACTAGATCATGCACTAGACTGTGAGGAGCAAGAAGGTCTGAACTTCGCGAGTGATCTTTGTTTCATGTCACATAAACTAGAAAATCTATAGCTGAAAACCAACAAGTTGACAAAAGAAGCAGCGAAAACGCGCCTTCAAGTGAACTCAGAAAACGGAGGTAATGAAGAGAACCAACTAACCACAACAGGGGTCAATGACTATAATTAACGGGAGAAATTTGTAAGAGAAGAGGTCATATCCTTCACTTATCTAGACACCATCATTCCAACTATCGATGACAGCACGGATGAAAATGTTAAAACCAGTATGCGATCAGAAAGGCTAGACAGGCCTTAATTAATCTTCACTAATTAGCATAGAGAACAAGATTCAGATTTTCAACACTAATGTGTAATCAGTGTTTCTATATGGTTCATAGATGACTTGGTGTGTTGAGAAAAAGCATTTTCAACAGACTACCGCAGGCATTCATCGACAATAGCCCTCTTTGGCTCCATACCGAAGATATAATAACCGGTTGGAAAGGATTGGTTACAAGGAACTCTGGTAACAAATATGCTAAAGGTAGTGGAGACGGATTAAGCATACACTGAGGAGTTAGAACTCGAGTGCAACCCGAATAGTGTCTATACGGAGATTAAGTTTAAAGTGGTATTTACTACTTAACTGATATCACATAGGCAAACATAAGAATAATAAAAAAAAACACACTGGACAATTGTTCTATCTTCAACAGTGGAAACACTCCAATATTTGTTTATCAATAAGCACAGTACATTACTCTTCAGCCATTGAGTTAGCCACTTACTGAACCAAAAAATTCCAACTCCTATCCATTCGCTATACATCGCCGTCTCGCAGTCGAACATCTTTGGAGAATATAATTGTCTTCATGCCAGGTTATAATTTCTCAATGTATCCCAGCTGATAATAGCTGAAGGTTAATATTTTCTATAGGTTGTTTTCGTGGAGATCTGATTCATTTCAAATTTGATCTGATCACAAGCCGACATCACTTATAATACAATATAAAGCATGGGGAGATTTGATACATCAGTTGGACATTAAAATTCTCACCTCATATTATTGTGTGCCTCGGCAGGGGGGTTGAGTACACTCTGCTGGAGAATGTTTCAAAGTGATAAGAAACAGTCGTATGAATATTGCTTATGTGAATAGAGTGACTCTTAAGTCAAAGATACCTACCAACGAAATCCTGACATCTAAACTGAATAGATATTATAGTTGCCTTTTAACAGCGTATAACCGATCATGGTGATTTTTCTTTTACATATTTTGAGGATAAAATCTAGTTTCTACGATAGTTCTTCGGTTCATGAAGAAATCTACTTTGAAAGATTAATGAGGACTTTTACTAACTCATTTGTATGGTTAACATGTCAAGTGTTTCTGCAATGGTTTATTTGAGTTGGTGTCTGGATATTACATACTACTGATTGATTGTGAGATGAGTAGTTGTGCACTACTCATATCGACCTGCAGTCCTTCCTTACTGTCCATATCACAGTGATCTAAACGTCAGACGGCCTTTTCGCTTATTTTCGGTCGACCTTATCAACGGTGTACCTGGTATGACTCAGCACAGAGAGCCTAACCAGTTCAAACTGTTTGAAGGATAAGGGGGTAGAATTTCACCTCGAACTGTGTGAATTGCAAACTCGATTTGTGGTACTACCAATTCGCCCAAGTAGCTAGGTAACAATGAGATGGTTTGAACGGATTTGGCTCTCTATGTTGGATCAACCCTAAACGAACGGAACAGCCGTCCGGTGTTCAGATCACTTCGATTTGTCTGGCTAGGAAGCACTACCACTGCTTAATATAAGTGGTAGGCATCTACTCATCTCAGTGAATCAGTAGTACGTAGTCCTATACATTTACTCTCAGTTTCTTGATTACCATTTATAGTATCAAGTAGATCACACAATGTGATCTGAATAAATTCTATTTCTAAAAGAAACTGTGGTATAAATCACAAATTTTGAATTCGTTTGTAATTTAATTATTCCTATAATGAAAATTATACAATACGATTTAAGTAAATACGTATTTACGGTAAATTCTCATCAGACTTTAATATTCACATAATGAAATATATTGGTCATAGCCATTTGAATTAATGTGGTTAATAAAATATGAGCTCAGGGATGTGAATTAATAGATAACAACCGAGGTGATCACAAACTACTAATATTTTTTTTTCCTTCACGTTCCGAATGGGACATAGGGCCTCAAGCTAGCGGCTTGAAGTTTCTGTAGCAGTGTTTATTTTTACAAAATGAGGTTGCTAGCCTCATCCCCAACCTTTCCTCTTTACCAGCATTATTTCTGGCTTAGCGAGGTAAAGGAGTGCGTCTTTGGCCGGGAATCGAACCCCGAACCATGTGCATAGTCGGTGAGCATGCCCACCTCTGTGCCACCGATGCATAAAATGAAAACATAGTACGATAATATTTGCAGTGATCCGGTGTCACCAGGAGAGTTAGCTATTTCAGGTTGGGGGTCAGTGAATGCCAAAGGAGGAAGAGAGGGAGGTTGAACAAACCTTTTTTGAACATAAATATTGGGTTGAAAAATTTTTGTAATAATAATATTCCTAATAACTTTATTCCAAAATCAGTACTTATAATACAGCGTGGAATTGTCAGCATTCGTAACAATATTGCATCATATTTACCCAAAATGTAAATAAAACTAACCACAGGAATTTGTCTACATTTTTGCACTAGGAATAAAGTCAAAAATGGATAATGAGAATAGTAACTATAATAATAATAACAGTGGGTTGGTTTCAAACAGTATTGTCGATTCAGTTTGGAAATTTTAGCATGTTATAGAATACTGAATCTAATGTTCTCTCGACATAGCATGGTGAGGGGAAAAATAAAAGTTATCACAGAGCTTAAATGTTGTTTACACTTAGGAAAAAATAAAGAAATGAGAGGACTATAAATATAAGAAGAATAACAGTGAAGCTCGGTGGTACCTTACTACTATTGGAAAGAAGGTTAGTTAGTTCCTCCCTGACACTATTTTCATCGCACAAAACAATCCGTGCCAAATATGGCGGAATTTTTATACTTAGACGTGCGCACGCATAAAGTCTTTTGAAATGACTTCTTGTTTCACCTGAGGAGATACAAATGGAAGCTGCTAGTAAAATGAATGCTTACAGTCTGACAAAATTGCTTTAGCAAATTTATTGGATAAAATCAAGTGCCTATCATAAATGACGATGTCAACTATATGGCCAGTGGGATACCATTCGCCATACTGGCAGTCTTCAAAATTCTACGAAGTATGGCATAGTCGTTTTTAAGCAACTCAGAGGAGAATAATGGTAAACAGTAAAGAACTGCCTCAGCTGTGCTTAGCAACCGAAGATGTACCAACCTTGGGAATTGAGGTGGTACCTTGTATAGAATTGTAAAAGCTGCATTTTTTTATCAGTTTTATGCCTTGTATCCACTAGGTGGTGTGGCTGTATGGAACTTCCGATTGACATTACGATTCCTTTACCTAACCACGTTGGACAGTGATGTTGGGCTCGCCGAGTCCTTTTACCCGTAGAACTGTCTCCACATGAACAGTTGAATTTGTAAGTGCACATTGAAGTGACCAGTGTTTGTAGACTGCGATTTCAAAGTATTTGAATTGTTAATATTATAGTATTTTATAAAATTACTATTTTTTATTTTATCTATAGGCTACATGCGTTCTTAATTTGAATATTATTCGAGGAATATTCCAATCAGCGAATTTCAACTGTCATACAATTAAATATGTTGAAAAGGCATTGATCATTGCTTTAGATGGTCTAGGATGTAAACATCTCTCAGTAAGTTGGTTAGTTAGTTTTCTGTGATTTCCTTGTGTTCACATTCTTACAACGCCATTGTGTGATGTAATGTTATAGTATGGTGTCAAATAAACCTATTCATTAAGGGAATTAATTTTGTTCATCTTGTCGAATGCACTTTACAATGTCTTGATACTGATATTTCATTCCTTGTCGTCCTAGTGGGATTTTGGACTTCATGCTTAAGGTGTGGAAATTTTGGTAGCGACTTCTTTTTGTCGGATTGACCACTACACCTTCCGAAGTTTGGATAGCCAAGTGGTATCGTTAGCCGTCCGTCTTGCATGATAGGTGTGGCTCATCGCCAACTGTATGGAATTTCAAGTGGTTATGGACAGCACTTGACACGTCCTTCTCAGTTAACAAATTTGTTATAACTGAGCTGAACTGAATAGACTCGTCGCTAGTTTGTTATGTCTGCGCCTGTTAATCACTATAACGGTTATGAACTCGACTGGTACGCTAATACGTTTATTTGTCCGTTGTGTCTTTCGATTGACTGGGCCATGCAAATATCAAAAGACAAAAACCAGCCTGTGAATGTAAGATACTTTATATCGATTAGAAAACAACACCTAATATTTATACAGTTTCTTTACCATGATAAAGTCGGCTCACACCGTGAGAATGGACTGTTCTTATTGACTGGAAATGTCTATTCTGATAGGTTGGTGATCTGACAAAGATCAAGGTGAGACAAGAGATGATGAATTGGCCACACAATAAATCACAATATGCGTGAAAAATGATCACAAGATTCTTGAGAAAGGAAGATATACTATTATGTTGGGTCCTATCAAAATTTGATCTAAAAAATGTATCTGTTAATCGCCAGTTCGTCTGAGTGACTTCCAAGCTTCTAGAAATTCACTGGGAATTTTTTATATTTCTACTGTTTGAAATCTCTACATTTTCCCAGTCAAATCGGTCTTCATATTTGTCTTATCGTGTCTCTTTCGCAATGGAACGAGACACCTGCTTTGACCAATATAGTGGTTACCAGAGTTCATGCAATTTATTTTGCATACGGTGTCGATCTCACCTTCTTTTGTTGTTGGATCTTTTAGTCAACATAGTACTTGAATGAATTCACGGTGTTAGTTTGTGTGTTATAATTACCTCGAATGATTTTAGTATTCTACTTGTTATTTCAGAAACACTATTTATATATGGCTGAGATTAGAGGGGGGGGGGGATGAACTTCCTCGTAGTTTCTGAGGTTAGTCTTTTTCCTGCTAGATTGTTTGGACTTTAGACATTTTTCTATGCAATTTCATGGGTATCCGTTTTTCTTGAAAACAGTTAGCAATTATGTTTTTGTTATAACTGCACTGAATTAAGGTAAAACCCCGTCGCCAATTTGTTATAACGGTAGGGAATTGAATGAAGACGTTTTCACCTTATTCTGTCTGCGCCTGAAATAATCTGTCTATCTGCTCGTCGTACCTTCCGACTTGGTAAAGCACGCAAATATCAAAAGACAAAGGCTGGACTGTGACTGTGTATTGAGGTGCAACAAAGATAAAGAAAGCCATGGTATTTATACATTTTACAACAATATGGACAGCTAACAGCATTTGAAATAATTTATCTTAATAGCCAATAACAAAGTGCGTGAGAGATGATAATAGACCATATGTGCGAGGTTGACAGTCAGTAACAAAATGTGTGGGAATGATAATATACCATATATACAAAATTAGCAGTCACTACCAAAATGCGTGAGAATGATAATATACCATATATACAAAATTAGCAGTCACTACCAAAATGTGTGAGAATGATAACATACCATATATGCAAGTTTAAACAGTCAATACCAAAATATGTGGGATCCTATCAGTTTTCTTCTATACTACAATGTTTTTTAATTGTTTTAAATAATATTTTTATGCTGTTGCATTATTTCTGTTTGAGTTGAGTATTTGGTTTGTGTGTGTGTATTGATTTTCTGTATACTTGGGTTTCTAGATCTCCTGGTTTTGTTCTGTTGATTAAAACATCAGATAAAAGACACGTTTTCTTGTCTCTTTCATCTTCCTTTGTGAAATTTATGTCTTCAAATATGTTATTGATTAGTTTGTAGGTACATTCTGGCTCATTTCTTTTTAATTATAACAAATGTGTCATCAAAATAACGTATCCAGACTTTTGATTTGATTATTAGAAGAACTGTCCTTCCTAGTCTTCGTATAAAACGGCGTCATCATTTAGTCCTGATATGGGCAATCACGTCCTTTTTCGTTTCGTCTGTTCATATAATTTGGTCAGTCAATTCAAAATATGTTATAAGACATAACTCTATGAGCTCTGTCCAGCTTCGACAGCGTATTTTTGGTGTGTTCATCACTACAGAGAGCAATTGTCACGTATTATCTTTTATGCCAGTTTTCGTCCATTTGTTAATATTATCTTTTTCAATTATGGTAGGAAATCGACTTTGAGATTCCGTAGTCGTTATGTTTAGAAGAAGTGTAGAGATTATTACTATTATTCCCTCGGTCTCTGAATGAAACATAGGGCTTCAACAATATATCTCCACTTCTATTTTCCGCTGTCCTCTTCAACTGGGTCTACGACTGCCCATAATCTGTCATCTCCTCCCCCCCCTAAGACACACTATCTCCTCCACGTCACTCTCACAACGATGACCCACTTGTCGCTCCCCATCAAGATTCCATTCGAACGATGGCCTGGCGCGCGATGGTATTCGACAGCCTCCTCAATGTATGCCCGATCCGTCTCCATTTTCTCCTACATATTTGTTGAGCGATTGGCTCTTGTCTGTTGGTTTTCTGCCAGCCAGAGTGTCTTGTTGCTAATTCTTTCTGGCCATTTGATCATCAGTATGGAGTCAGCGAAGCAGGCAGTTGCTGATAAAAGTCTGTTGTGGCTTGTTGAAAATGCTTTCAGTATCACGCAGGGCAAGTTTCTGACCCGTATGGAAGCAATGACTGACTGGCTTCACAATTGTTTTGAAAATCCGACAACGGAAGGTTTCCAGATTTGCCTTTCCTATCCTGACTGATTTTGACAACTTCATCCATTCTGCATGTAGTTGAAACGATAGTTTCTGGCTGGATAAGTGAAGGAAGTAACCTTCATCAAATCCTCCTGTTGACGGTGATTGGTTCTGGTTGTTGTCGCTGTTCGTTGGTTATCTTCATCTTCTCTATATCGACCTGGAGTCCTGTCTTCTGTGGTTGCTTCTTCAGCTAGTTTGTTGGTTTTCGCCTGCCTGCAAGTCTTCGAGTTTGTGCGACGCTAGATATATATTATCTGCGAAATCGATACCTTTTGGAGTTTCTCGTCGATCCAACGCATTCTTTTTTCTTCTCGCTCCCACTCACAGTCTTCCGCGTAATCCAGTCCACCACAGTTAAGAATATCATCGGTGATAATAAGCAGTCTTGTATTACACTTCCGTATGCTTTTCGAACGCTTCGCGCTGGGTTTCATGTTGTGGATCACCTTACACATGGTATTGTCATGTAGTCAGCTGTTGAATGAGGTTGATAAAGACTTGGACATTGCACGCCGTAGTGTTGAAGCAGTTTCCAGATTACTTCTCGGTCAGCCCTCTAACAAGTGGGTTTGAAACGATTAGCACATGACGTCTAACTTGTTTTGTTACTAGTTCTACTGACAAGTATTTCTAAGTAGTATGTAGTATGGCATGTTTTTCAAGAATTTCGAATAGTGAAGTAAAAGACAGAGAGTTCCAGGCAAGAGAAACTGCGAAAATTGTAAATGAATATCGAACGTCGTAACTTAAGGTACTTAAAAAGAAGCTGAAGAGAAATGCAAGTAGTAGCAGTAGTAGCTGAATAACATGAGTTTTGTGTAAACTGAAGTTTTAGTGTAAAATTTTAATTCTGAGAAATAAACATTTCTGTACCGTGAAAACTTCGATCACAATTTTATTCCGTTGTCTAGATTTATTCTCCTCTATGAATTTGAATAAAGCAAATACAGCACTTTGTGCAGAATAATATGGTACCATCATTGTTTATTTCGTTGGCTTCTCATTGGCTGCTTACAGCCTTGAGAAATGATTGAGTTTTTGTACAGAAAAATTTTAAAATACAGTGGAAATAATAATGATCACTTTATTCAAAACAGTTACACAGTATGGAATTTTTGGCGTTATATAATTAAATGGGAGAATGAATAAAGACATCCAGTTACTAGGATACGTGAAGGAAAGACTGATAACTGCTTCTTTCTGAAAACATAAATCGGGTTTCATGCGTTTCGATAGAGATTGCTTTGGCAAACTTGTGGAGAATTAAGCTTTTTTGTCTATTGATAATTTTGAAGGATTTTGTGATGCCCACCTCATGATCCGTATCAAGGAGATGCCTAGCAGTGACACTTTTGAAAGCGTTTGTTCCCTTGGTATGTAGACGTTTTGATGCATGTTCAGAAAACCGGAGCTGTGCCCTTCTTTCTCTTCTCCCAATGTAACTACTCTCACAGATACATGTAAATTTGTATACGCTGATAGAGTTATCATGAGGAGGAGGACATCTGTCGACCTTTGACTGCACCAAAGAGCATGTTTACCGATAGACGGGAACCAACTTGGCTGCAGAATAGGATCTAGGTAGTGAGATACTCAATCTTCTATTGACCATTGCTGCAATATTTTCACCTTCAAAATCGAATTGAATGAAAACAGGTTTTTTTTCTTACTGTGATTTTTTTTGACATTTAAACCTTCACATTTTTCTTACTTGTTAATGAGTCTCTGAGGGTAGGTGTTATTTTTCAACGTCATTTCGAGAATCATAAATTCTTCCCCTAGTTTATCTTTACAGCATATTCTCCTGACTCTAAATAACAGAGTTTTTACTAGTACTCGTTAATAGTTATTTGGACAAAAAGTATTAAAATGTAAGTATTGTCCATTCTATATTGGCTTTGGGTAAATTAACCTCTGGAGACTGCCATCTTCCAGGCGTTGCTTGGCAGTGTCAAAAAAAATGAAATTTCTCACAATTTTCATATCCCATAGTAAATTCAATATTTGTATGCACGTTGATGAATAATCTTCTGTCCAAAGTGTTTGCAAAGTGATGTCACAGTATATACTACTTACAATTCTTAGTTAGTAGTACACTCATCACACTATGAGTTCATAATTTCCTTATATATTACCAGCTGTCTTTTTTATCCTTATGAGATTCATTTTCTTATTGGATTGTATTTTAACTTGTGTGAATTAACTTTCTTTCTACAGATTCGAAATGCATCTATGCTTTTCTTCAGTACTCTAATTCAACGTATTTTTGGTGTGACACGATCGAAAGCAATTAAAAGTCGTAAAAATTGGTATGTGTTGTCCTATGCTTTTTGCTTACTTACTTTTCTGCTATAAATTAGTCTACTTTGCCTTACTGGTAGCTGCTTCCTTGATGCAAAAACGCGTCAAATGAGCTACACTGACTAGAATTAATGTTTATTAAGGTTTTATCAAGCAGGACAGGCTGTTTGGATAGCAGTTAGACTAAAAATAGTCACCATCATAGTGTAAGAGTCGTTTACACTATATTGGGGGTCCATAAGCAAAGTTGTACTGCTGGTGAATAGGGAAGTAATCGTGGTAAGGTATTTCCATCATATGACAATCATGCCACCTATGTTGTCTCTCCGCTCCTGAAGGCTGTACATGTCAACTTACCTTGCTGGAGTCCGTAGGCGCTGGTGAGATCTTTATACGGACACAACTGCAGCAACCAAGCAATTGTCTCCTAGTCACTCAATACTAATGCTCTTTCTGTTTCATGTACTCCAAGAAGAAACCAACTTCCACGGTGTGAGCAGTGGAGAATTAATAATCACGCACACACTTTTGTTAACATACAAAGTAGGTATACTTGTACGTGTAAATTCTGTATGTAAATTTCGTTAATTTTGAAGGCCGGAAGATTTGTGTGTGTGCGATGAATACCTTCGGCAGAAGGTCCACATCGAATTAAGAATAGTAATTCTTAGATATAAGGTGAAACGCCCATCGTTCAGTAAATTGGAGCCTTCTGTAGATGATAGTAGAATATCTCATGAAAACTAATGTAAATTTATGCCTGCCAAATGAATTTTCTGTATTTCCGTTTCGATCGAGATCTCATCATCTATGATAATTCAATACGTGTGTGTATGTGAGTGTGATTCGATTTGCTAAAAATGCATCAATCACTCTCAAGGAGTTTCAGTCATTACTTCACCCATTTACCTCAAACTGCACGGGGGGGGAGTTGTAACAGATCAATCATGTAGCATCACCTTACATTCGGCAAGGGTGGGGCGCATACCAAACACACTTCATTAAACTCGATACCATCTGCCTGCTGCAATGTCGTTTACTTCTATTTTCAGTCACTGATTAGTTCCTTAAAAGATCCAGTCAAACACAGTCACCTTCATAAGAACATCAGTTACAAAACTGTGTGCATTGTGATTCCATTACAGTTATCTGTTCAAAAAACTGGTGATGTGTTCTTCATCAGCTATAATAGACTATATGTATATATTGCACCTATTGAATGTTAGTTCAGATATCAAGCTCCTATGAGCTTTTTCGTCAAAATTTCAAGTTTTACAATTGTCGACTAATATTTACTACGTAAAAACAAAAATCTCTAAGAAAAACCTTTATGTTGTGTGTCCATCCAGTTATCCAGTTGACAAAAATGCCAATGGGATTCAGAAACTGCATTGGTTTTAATTTTCCAATAGCACAAAAGGTTGCTTCTATCGCAGTTAGATATCAGCAACTGAAATTTTGTTCGCCCTTATTAAAATTTACGATACTTTTCTTTGCAATAAAAAATGCGCCATTTAAGATGAATAAAGTGGAATATGTGATTGATTGATTTTAGCATTCGGTTTGTGATCTTACTCAACTATCATCGGCAGTCGCTTGACATCTTACGACTGCTCATTTGATTGACCTTCATTGATTCTTGAAAAGCAGGAACTCTGAACAGCTGTTTTGTTTCAGTTCTGGACTGTTTAGCAGTATTCACTCACTACCCCACCACCAGATATTGAATCCCAGACCTTCAGGTTGCGAGACCAATAACTCGTTAACTTGGTCTGGAATCCAGAGACCTCTGACTGAATTTGGTTTGTGATTAAATCTACATTTTAATTAATTCTAATCCCTACAAACACCCGTAATTGAGGTAATTTCTAGACATTTATTATGGCTTAAACTGTCTATGAAGGTTTTGGTGTAATCTCTGAGAGGGTCAAGTTTGTGTCTTTGTTTGTGTATGAACTGGTCTAAAGAGTCCCAGATTACAAACAAAAAACACCGATTCAGAGCCACATGGTTTTCGATGATTTCATATACGGGATGAACATTACCTTAAGAGATATGCACGATAGTAATCTCAGTTACTCAATCGTTTTGTGTTTGGGCGTGTGTAGTGAACACTAAGGTTGAAACTATTAAAAGAAAAATAAGATCTGGATCATTTTCGGTATAAAAATAATACCCTAATCTATTATTATGATTGTTTCCCTTAGTTCCTAGAGGAACATAGGGCTTCAGCCGCCCACATCTCCATTGCATTCGGTTCTCCGCTAACGTTTTCACCTGTCTCCGTGTCTGCCCATATGCTGTCATGTCCTCTTCACATGACCTCCTCCATGTCACTCTCGCACTGATGACCAACTCGCCACTTTCCGTTCTGGTTCCACTCGAGCTGTGGCCTGGTGTGTGATGTCACTTGGTGTTTTTCTCAGAGTATGGCCAATCCACCTCCATTTCTCCCTCCATATTTGTTGCACAATTGGTCCCTGCTAGGTTGGTTATCTCTTTGCCAGAGATCCCTGTTGCTGATCTTTTCTGGCCAGCCATCTGACACTGAGTAGTATTGAGAGAAGACAGCTATTGATGAAGGTCTGTAGTTGAGGTACCCTTCATGACGCGCCAAGTCTCTGATCCGTATAGTAGCACTAACTTCGCATCGGAGTCGATAATCCGGATCTTTTTCATGCCGAGTGCTGTTGACCTCTACGTAGACTTAAGAGTAATGAAAGCTTACCTTGCTTTCCCGATCCTTTCTTTGATAATTCCTCATCAGTTCCGCCGGCCTGTAGTTGAAACGATGCCTCCCAGGTTGATAGGTATGGAAAGGAGGTTGCATCTTTCAGATTTCTCCCATTCATGCTGGCTGATTGTTGTCTGTTGCTGTTGCTGTTGGCCAGGAATCTTCATCAGCTCTGTTTTCTCAATGTTCGTCTGAAGTTCTTCCTATCTTTGGTGCTTCTTCTGCCAACTTGTCGCTTTTCACCTGCATATCTTCCAGTTTGTGAGAAATCAAACATCTATCATCATCGGCGATGTCCAGATCCTCCAAGTTTTCTGTGTGGGTCCGTTTTATGCCTGTCTCCTCGCTGCCCGCTGTCTACAGCATTATCCATTCTACCGCAATCAGGAAAATTATTGGAGATAGCAGGCAGCCAGCTTGTCTTACTCCCGTCTTCACTTCGAAGGATTCCGTGAGTTTCCGTTGTGGATTACTTGACATTCAGCATTTTCATTCAACTGTTGGATATCCCTAATCTATGGGACATTTTATCGTTTACTCAATCAAATGTATATATGTTTTGTCTGTTTGGTAATATCACTTTTTATTTCGATTAGATTTTACTATATTTTCTTGGCTTCTTCTATGGATTTCTACTTTCTTTTTGTCTTTTACATTTGCATACACAGCTTATCAACTTCGACATTCTTTAAACATTATCCGAAATTTCAACAATATTTGATTGATGCACTCACTTGGTATTTAAACAATACACGGTAAGAAAGAAGTCGTTTGCATTTTTATTCATTATAATTTTATTTTCACTAAAATTTATTCTTGTGTTGAGAAAATAAATCCTTTATCTCCCCAACGAAACAAATGGCGTGTGCATTGCTCAGAAGTTTTGCTCCGTACTCGTCTGTGGCTGTGAGACATGGTCATTAAAAGCTGAGGATACGAAAAGGCTTGCTATCTTTGATCATAGGTGCCTGTCTTCTATCTCCCATGTAAAGGTGGTTTAATAAGGTCATCAATATTCAGGTTAGGCATCGGTCAGGTGCTAGATAAGGAGGGGAAATCAACCGACGAGACTCTGAAGTTACATCGACTAAGATGGTTAGGACATGTGTTACACATGCCTAGTCTAACCATTGCCTTCTTCGACGGGCAATGTTAGCCACTGACATAGGATGAACCAGGTTGAAAAAGAACTAGCAAGTGGTGGTCAAACGAAAACACGGCTTTACCTTTTAGTTTAAGCCAGCCGGTCAGCCACGTGGAGAGGTGTAGAATGGTGTCTAGTTGAGGTCCTCCGGATGGTAATAACCAATGGAGACTGGAACAATTGGTGGTATTCATGACAAATCCCCATTCGAACATTAATAGAGAGAAGACCAGTGGTTCAGCGAAGAGTCTCTTTTCGACGGATTCATTTTCACAGCTGTACAATCGCAAATATATATTTGGTTATTTTGTATCTGCTTGTAGATTAAATTTGTCAAGCGAAGATACAATTGGTTCGGATTGTTGTAACTAGGGGGGGGGTGAAATTAGTAGGATTTCGGTGGAGTTACGTAATTCAAAAATGGCGTTCAGAAGAATGGGGTGTTGATACAAAAGAGTAGTAACAAAAGTGATGAGTTGTCACAAATGATTGTTAAAGAAAGTTACATGATAACGTCATAAATTCGTGCTACAAGGAAGGAGTGTGGCAACTCGTACTGCTTCACATCTGTGCAAAATTCTATGTTGAAACCAGTCAGTCAGATAAAGGAATCTCTCGATAGATTTTTCCAAGTCCATACGCAGGAAATCTGCTGCACTAAGCCTAAAGAACAAGATTCTGATTTTCAACACTGCCTGTCTGTCTGTCTGTTTTCGACATAGAACTTTGCAGATATATGAGACAAAAGGAATAGTAATATCGAAGAAGAATATAGCTTTACTGCATATTCTAAGTCACAAGGAGTGGATGCATCTACACCATTGAGACCGATTTTGAGCCATATCACCAACGGTTTCCAACCATTGGTTTTTACCGTCCCAAGGGCCCCAACCAGACACCAGTCTACACCTTCCTACGTGACTTAAACTAACTGTTGTAGATTTCATTGACTGGTGCCAAGTTTTTGTTTGACCGCCGCTAGCTCTTTTCCAGCCTGACACTATATCCGCTAACATTTCCCATTGTCGAGGAAGGCGATGACTAGGCATACGTAACACATGTCCTAACCATCTCAGTCGATGTAACTTCACAGCCTCGTCGATTGATTTCCCCTCCTTACCTAGCACTCGACCGATGCCTAACCTGAATAGTGATCACCTTATTATACCACTTCAAACAGGAGATAGAACACAGGCACCTATGATCAAAGATATCTAATCTTTTCATGTCTTCAAAACACTCTCAATGGCCATGTCTCACAACCATAAAGGAGGACGGAGCGGACTGATGAGCAGTACACCCGCCCTTTTGGTCGATAGTCGGATATCACGTCTACGCCAGAGACGGCATAAACTAGCCCTCTGTATCTGCGATGAGATTTCGTCATAGATTAACCCGTTGGGGCTGATGGTCCTTCCCAAGTAAGTGAAGTGGTTAACGTGCTCTACCACTTCACCCCCTATTTCTAAACTAGGAGTCAGTGTAGTTCAGTCCTGCAACATCACCTTACATTTGGCGGGATTTTCAACACTAATATTATGAAATCGGTGAATGCTTTTCTATCTGGTTCAGAGACTTGTGGAGTGGAGTGAGTCACGAAAAGCATTTCCAACAGTTCACAGTAGACTAACATCAACAGATACTGGCCAGAAAGAATTAACAACGAGGAACTCAGACATAATAAAGAACGAATCAATCAAGAACCCTGATGCTTGACAAATATGCAGAAGGAAATGGGGTTCCATTAGACATATGCCGAATAGACCATTGAGTGAAATGACGTGCCATTTCGTCCATCGAGTGGAACCCGAATGGGAAACGACAAGTTTGTTCTGTGTCCAATCTAACATAGAAGCGATCATGTAAGGAGGAGGTGAAAGCTCATAGACAGTCGTGGAACCAATTAAAAGGAATTGCATAGAACAGAGTGAAGTGGAGATGTCTTGTTGAAACATGATGTTCGACTTTGAACCTAAGTAAATTATTATGATAATATGCATTCAGTCTTCACAGTTAAGGGTAAAGTTAGCATTTATGTACAATTGTTGGAAACTTGAATACGTTTATTATAGTGCTGAAAAGTTGGTTGGCTGGTTTCAACTACTTATGTCTCTTTCCAAAAGCAATAATGTTGATTGTTTAATGCGATCCATATGGAAAGTAACTACACTCCTAAGAATTAATTAGGGATTTACATCGCTGATACCTACATTCACAGGGATGTCACAGTCTAACCGCTTGTTAGTTTTTGGTGGATGATGATAATAATGACCACCCGATTTTCGTTTTTATGTGTGTGTGTTACTTGTTCTTGTTGTCAGTTTTTACTTGAGCATTTTTGAAGCACATTGATGCAATTAAACACCATGTGTTAATATGAGACAAGTATGTCACTTTTAGACTTCAGTAAGTTGACAGACCTTCCTACATCATCCTTCCTGACTGTGATAGCCCCTACCTTGAAGTGGTGTTTAGTTATGCATATCGTAATGATCCAACAAGCTACACTGACTGAAACTAATGATTCTACAAGTTCTATCATGCCAGAAAAGGTTTTTGAATAGCCGTTAGACTAAAAGTAGGTAGCATCCATAGCTTAAGTTGTTTGCACTACTTTTAGGGGTACCAGGTTGAGGTTGTACTTCTGGAATGCAACAGCAGTAAGGCGATTCTCTTTGATGACCAGCATGTAAGCTGTGCTACCTCTCTACTGTGGAGAGGGGGTATATTAGGAAAGGTCCGTCGCGAAAATTGTACATTCGTACTTATCTTGAGGTAGTCCGTAGCTGGTGGTATGATTTTTGTACGGACACGTTCCTGAAGACCACTTCAAACAGGTTGTATTTGACCATCCACTGGACGCTGTGGTCACATGACAGTAATGCTCTTTCTGTTTAAGATACTTCCATGGTATTAATAACTACCCTCACACTTCCATAATCTCACAAAGTTTTCCTAAGCATTAGTCACCTTCACTTCCTTTGTGAATTAACCCTGCTACTCCTGCTAGTCGAGGTTTTTGAGATAAATGCTGACTGGCGTTTTGTGTATTTTGTGTTCCAGTAACTACTGCAGTTAATGGTCAACTACGTCTTTTCAAAAGATTCGTATCTTCTCTAACTGATGCCTTGAGTTATATATTGTACAATATAACCTTGTCTATATGATTTTTAACTGTAAGATTATCGTCACGGTGATGATAAGTGTTACGTATTAAATTCTGCTTTCAGTCTGAGAGAATTGATTCCTTTATGTATCACATGTTAATAATTTCGATTGTGTTACTTTATGTGAGGTTAGATGGCATTAGGATTAGATAGATCCTTGTATGAATTGTTGTCACAACTGTGTGACTTGTATTCATTCTCATTATTTCTCTCCTGCATCATTTGTCATTGGTTTCACTGATTACCTCTTGTGTATTCTTCCAAAATCATTTTCACAGTGTTCTTCCACATGTATGCCGTTTCAAATTGTACAGTCTGCTTTATTTGATGACACATCTTCTGCCTCCTTCTCAAGTGACAGATGTCGATAAAGTGTTATACAAACTGCTTATTCGGTGAGTAATGAGAAAATACCTTTTTTCTCCTTTTTATTCATTCATTTGCGTTCCGTATGGAAAATACTACTTCAGGGTGTATATTTCGAAGTCTTAGTAACGGTAGTTTATTTTCATGGGGTAAGTTTGCTAGCCTCACTCAGTCTGTCTGTCTGTCTGGATTCAACATAGAACTTGGCACCGAAGTGCACCAGTTCGAGTTGCCACGTTCCAAATAGCACACAAAAGTAGACAAGAAGATGAGTGAAGAGAATCAATAGAGTTTGACAAGTATACGAGTGAAACAGAATGGGTAATGGTAGAAAGGAATATGAAAGATTACAGAGACTCAATACATCTGCACTGGCCATTGACAACGATTTTGAGCCATGTCACCTATTGTCTCCAGCCATTGATTCCTAGAGTCCCGAGGGCCCCAACCCGGGAGTCTGCATCTCCCTACCTGACCGACTCAGTTTAACTGTCAAGGATTTCATGGATTGATGAGGCCATGTTTTTGTTTGGCCACCACTGGCTCTTTTCCTCACTCAGTCACAACCTTCGCTCTTGAACTGAGTTTACTACTGGCCAGGGAGTGCTTAGGAGTGCGTCGGCCAAGAATCGAACTCCTAGCCACTTGCGTGCGTGCGTGCGTAGCTGGTGGGCATTCTAAGACTACTAAACCATCGATGCATTTGTTTTCTTAGCAAGACCATAATACATTTCAGCTCTGATGATGTGTCATTTATGTACATCAGTTGTGAGTAGTTTCCCAGGTTCACTGTAGTATCCTGTCTAATGCACAGGATTCAGGATCTCTTTTAGGTGGATTGGTAGTAATTTAGTTTTATAAAGTCATAAACAACTACACCTCTAACTTTCTAGGACTTAACAGATGTCTAGACCATCTGCGTATCGTTACATTCTTTACTATCTGTTGTCAGTAATTACATGGAGTGATCGTCAGTACCAAATCTGTATTAGAAAACAGTGAAATGCAGATTTTAAAACAAGCAATAAGGTTAATAAAGCGGAATTTAATGAATTCATCAAATTCGGTAGAACTTGTCAGCTAAATACTCTACATACACGGCACTTTTCATTCAGCTGTTTTCAACCACCTTGGCGAATGCTCCATCATGCGAGTATATTATATATATATATAGTGAGTAGTCAGTGCAAGGGTGACATGGAGGAGATCGTGTGAAGAGGAGTTGAAACAGTATGAACTAACATGGATGCAGGTGAAAAGTACAGTAGAAGACAGAAGCAAGTGGAGACGTGCAGTTGAAGCCCTATGTTCCACTAGGAACCCAAGGGAACAATAATACAATAATAATAATAGTGCCCAATCAATGTAATGATTGGCTGTTTATGTATGTTGTTTAAGTGGGTTGTATTTCTTTTGCGTATATATTTGTTGATTTCTTTCTTTTCCCTGTCTTTTTTTTTGTTCTACCAGTTGTTCTTATTATCCTGATATTCGTATACGTAAAGTGGCATCATCCGCATTGACGTCAATTATCCATCCAAGTTGTATTATGGAGATACTGGATCATTTGTTGTGTCTCATTGATGATGGAGACTTAAAGATTCGTTATCACCAACAACAAGAAAAACTGATCGATCGAATATACTTCATAGTCTACTGTTACAGGTAATTTGTGGTATTTATTCTTTTCACAGTTTGTCTATTTTTCACTTTAACCGTCATTAATACTGATCCAAGATCACGAACTGATCTCAGTTAGAGAGCTATTAAAAACCAGGGAATAGTAAGGACTGCCAAGGACCACCGAAATTAGTACCTTCTGGTCACGAGTCGAATCCGTTGACTGTTCAACCACTGGGACAAAATCCAATCTCCACCTCGCAAACTCTAACTTCTGTCAGTTCGTGGTGTATGGCACGACTGCCAGCTAATATCATTGGCGAGTATTCATTCTCACATCCAACTTGGTGTGACTCCAGTGGTCATGAATTCTCACTAGGACTTCAGGCAACATTATCTTGTCGTCAGTTAGTCACTGGTGAGCACTAGAGGGTGTATTGATCATATCTTCACCCTCCGACAGATTCTAGAACATAGGGATTCCTACCGGCGTCCAACAGTCATTATATTTCTTGACCTAAAGGCAGCATTCGACTCTGTCGATCGGGAAGTTCTCTGGAGATGCTTGGCTGTAAAGGGAATTCCAAGAAAATATATTGCACTGATTAAGGCACTCTACTCGTACTCATACAGCCAGGTGAGGGCTTACGGCGAGCTGTCATCTGAACTGGTGACGACCAGTGGTGTCCGTCAAGGACGCCCATTATCTCCTTTTCTATTCAACTTCATCATAGATGTGTTAATGGACTTAACCCTAGGTGACTTCAGTGACTCAGGAATTGACTTGCTACCGGGGAATAATCTCGTTGACTTAGAATACGCAGACGATATAGTCCTTCTAGGCGAAGACGCTGACGAAATGCAGAGTCTTCTAAACACCTTGAGCCGCAATCTACGAATGTTTGGCATGCGATTCGCTCCCGCCAAATGCAAGATGATGTTACAGGACTGGACTACATCGACGCCTAGTTTAAAAATAGGAAGTGAAGTGGTAGAGCACGTTGACCGCTTCACTTATTTAGGAAGTACCATCAGCCCCAACGGGCTGATCTCTGACGAAATCTCAGCACGAATACAAGGGGCTCGTTTCGCATTTGTTAGTTTACGCCGACTCTGGCGTAGACGAGATGTTCGACTATCGACCGAAGGGCGGGTGTACTGCTCATCAGTCCGCTCCGTCCTCCTTTATGGTTGTGAGACCTGGCCACTGAGAGTGGAAGACATGAAAAGACTAGCTGTCTTTGATCATAGGTGCCTGCGTTCTATTTCCCGTGTAAAGTGGCATAATAAGGTGAGCAACATGGAGGTTAGGCGTAGAGTTCTAGGTAAACAGGGGAAATCAATCGACGAAGTCGTGAAGCTACAAAGACTGAGATGGTTAGGACATGTGTTACGTATGCCAAGTCATCGCCTCCCTCGACGAGCAATGTTAGCGGATATAGGGTCAGACTGGAAAAAAGCTAGCGGCGGTCAAACAAAAACTTGGCATCAGTCAATGAAAACCACAACAGTTGGTCTAAGCCACGTAGAAAGTTGTAGACTTCCAGGCTGGGGTCCTCGGGACGGTAAAAATCTATGGTTGGAAACAATTGGTGACATGGCTTAAAACCGTTCTCATTGGCGTAGATGCATCCACTCCCTGTGACTTATGATCTCCAATGAAACTGTTTTGTATTTCTTTATTACTCCTTTGTCTCACACCTCTGCTCACTGTTTCTATTATGCTTTTCTTGTACTTTCTTCTGTTGCTTTGCGTGCTACACGGAATGTGGCGACTTGAACTACCGCACATTTGTGCAAAGTTCTATGTCGAAAACAGACAGACAGACTAATTTTCAAGTTTGGCTTTGTCAAAGATTTGATAGACTTCAGTTATATTGATCACGATCTTTGCAAATCAACACTTTGGAAAGTGTATTTCACAAAACAATCATATCTGGTCCAGTAGTCATTGACAGATCGAATGTAGAAAATCTAAAATAGTCAAGATTTATTAGTATGTTAGAAGACTTGTTCAATGGTCATGAAGACAATACTTGACTGATGTACTGTGTAGAATGCCGGGGGTGGGGGGGGTTATTTAGCCTCTAACATACTTCACTTGTCAGTTAATACTTTCTTTCATGTCTCACAACGATAGTTATTTATTTTACAAGCTGGTATCTTGGGTGTTTGTTCCCTTATAAATAACTTTTGTACAATAATCCAACAGTAAAGTGTGTTCTGGTTGCCTCAGTCAATGAGGCATCATTACACACAACTTGTTTAGATCATAGGAAAACTGAAGAAAGACGGTTGTAGAGGAGAAAATTTTCTTCTCGACGAAGTCATTGACTAAGCTGTATGTTCAGGTATGCATATGGTAAACGGGTGAGAAAGTTCCAAAACTTTTCTTGGTCGAGTTTAAAATTTAAAAAAATTAGAAGTAGGGATTAAAACGTAATAATATAACAGTATAGATAAAAAGTTCGGATAAAACTACAATATTGCGAATAGGGATTAAAATACATAAGAATAACAGAAATAAACAGGAAGTTTGGATAAGAAAGGTATAATAGTATAGTGATTATTGAGAGAATTGATTGTTCATGATGACCATGATAAAGACACTGGTTGAACGTATTTCTTTTGGATTCCGCGTACCTCAGCTACGCTCTTAATGCCTTAATCTCACTCCCTTTGAGAGGTTTGAGAAGATTTCGAAGGACTTTTCAAATGCAGTTGGATATGCTGGGTTCACCAGATGCTCTGTTACCGATCCAAATACACACCTACGTTCTCGCTTCACTAGCCACTTAGCCATGTTGGACAGTGTTCCCTAGCGCGTTTTACAAGTGGGTGTTTATTACGCCTAATGTAGTCAACCCCATAAGACTAGGTGAAATAGTATATGCATGTTGAGGTGGCTCAATGCGGCAGTTTGTATTTCACTTGCTGGCTAGATAACTTTTCGCAAGAAAATGTCACTTATAGGCGAAGTATTTTTCATTGAGAGATTTCAAAAACTGTTTTTGGAGGATTTCCACTCCAGCATCATTTTTGAATTCTAGATTAAACAGAAAAATCTTTTTTGCGGTGAGCTGGACCTGTTCAGAAGCCTTCTTTGGTTTTAGGTTCTTGTCAATAAGTCTGGATGGGAAACCGTTTTCCATTGAGATTACTTGGAGATTTTGCAATTTTTTGTAGTACAGTTTACGTATATTATCGTCTGCCATATTCCTACTTATTTGGATACGGAGACTACATAAACTAGTTAGCAAGACAAAGTAAGAACAACAGATGGATCTTCGAAAATACGAGTTGTATTTGTAGAATCGCTACTGTACAAGTAGGTCCACAGCTGCTAAATTGACGTCGCCGTCCCGTCCGATTTGCATATCACACTGTCTCAAAAAGCTACACTGGTTGAAACTAGTGTTTTTGCAGGTTCCAACCGTGTTAAACCAAAAGCAGTTTCCATCAAAGGATAAGTCGTTTGTTTACAATATGTTAGGAGTCTGTTGGTGAAGTCATACTGCTGGCGAGTAGAGATGTAACTGCATTAAGATGTTTCTTTCATATGATCAGCATGCTAGCCATGATATCTCTTTGCTCTGGAAATGAGGGTGGGTTAGAAAAGATCGACGTCAAAAATTAGACATCCTGACCTACATTTCGGTGGTCCGTGACTGGTAGGAAGATCTTAATACGTATGTAACTCCAACAACCACTTTAGGTGCGTACAATTATTATAATACAATGTTTGAACAAGGTATTAAGAAGACAAATTTCGCGAGATGATATCATTTCGTAGTTTCTTTACAACCGCTTTACAACTAACATGGTTAACAATGATAAAATAAAGTTCATGAAAATTACTCAGTTAAATAAAAACAATAGTACATACTAATGACCAATCATATTTAGATAGGTCATGCAGTCGAGAGTAGGCGAAGATTGAAGTCTATTGATTTTTGTGCACACAGTTTAGGCTGTATGTGATTAATCCAAAGTGCTTCCATCACCTTCAATAACCTTGAATTAGAGTTATGTGAAATAATTGTGAAACAGTCATTAATATTTATTTTGTGACCAGACATTAATAAGTGTTTTGCAATGGATGATGCTGGATTTCTATTAAGATTAATCGCGTTAGGATTTTCGATATGATTTACTAGCCATTTTGGAATATGTTCTTTTCGACGACATTGGAACATTCTGTTAGTTCTACCTATATAGGTGTCACCGCAGCTGCAGGTGAACTTGTAGATACAGTTTGAAGTAGAGTCCACAGAATTTCGTCCTTTAATCGTAGGAACAGGGATCGAAAATGTTCGGCAAGTGAGAAAAAGAGATGCGGCGTAGAATGTGCGAGACCCATCTTAGACATGTCAAATTCTCCTTACCATAAAATCGCCAAATGGATTACGCCTGTAAGAGACTCATTATCAAATCATTCTGTAAAAAGTTCATTTGATCTTACAGAAATGCTGGACACCTTGAACATTAAGGAAAAGGTTATGTGTTCAATTGATATAGAATCTTTATTCACCAATGTTCCCCTTCATGAAACTGTTGATTTTATTTGCGATTACATAACAAGCAACAGCATAAACTTACCCATTCCCGTCACTTACATCAAAGACATAATCTTAATGTGTACAGAAAATATTAGATTCACATTCCAAGAAAAGGCATATAAACAAATCGATGGTGTTGCGATGGGGAGCCCTCTGGGGCCCCTGTTAGCAGATATATTTATGTCGAAATTAGAGAAACAAATGCAAGGTATGCTTGGAGGATTTATGCTGTATAAACGTTATGTAGATGATACTCTTATTATTGGTAATAATAGTAAATCTATTGAAAACTTCATTACTCTATTTAATCATATTCATCCAAATATTCAAGTGACTTTCGAACTAGAATCCAATAACAAATTCTGTTTCCTGGATATTACTATGACTAGGAGAGATGATGGAACGATTCAGCGATCTATTTTTCGTAAACAGACTTGGAGTGGACAATATCTTCATTTTACCAGTTTTGTTCCTATCCAGTATTAAATGTTCCCTAGTGAAATGTTTGTTCTCAAGGGCCCGAAAAATATGCACGAGTGACACATTGATGGATGAGCTTCAACATATACATTCAGTTTTATTAGCTAATGGTTATCCGGAGAGCTTCATCACTTGTCACAGCAAAGAGAAACCACATCTCGAAAAGACAGCTTCTGTACCAAAGAAAGCCACCTTTATTAATCTACCATTCAAGGGCGACCATATTATGCAGTTGACAACTCAAAGACTTCGATCAGCCATCAAACGAACATTCTACGCCGCATCTCTTTTTCTCACTTGCCGAACATTTTCGATCCCTGTTCCTACGATTAAAGGACGAAATTCTGTGGACTCTACTTCAAACTGTATCTACAAGTTCACCTGCAGCTGCGGTGACACCTATATAGGTAGAACTAACAGAATGTTCCAATGTCGTCGAAAAGAACATATTCCAAAATGGCTAGTAAATCATATCGAAAATCCTAACGCGATTAATCTTAATAGAAATCCAGCATCATCCATTGCAAAACACTTATTAATGTCTGGTCACAAAATAAATATTAATGACTGTTTCACAATTATTTCACATAACTCTAATTCAAGGTTATTGAAGGTGATGGAAGCACTTTGGATTAATCACATACAGCCTAAACTGTGTGCACAAAAATCAATAGACTTCAATCTTCGCCTACTCTCGACTGCATGACCTATCTAAATATGATTGGTCATTAGTATGTACTATTGTTTTTATTTAACTGAGTAATTTTCATGAACTTTATTTTATCATTGTTAACCATGTTAGTTGTAAAGCGGTTGTAAAGAAACTACGAAATGATATCATCTCGCGAAATTTGTCTTCTTAATACCTTGTTCAAATTTATCAAAGGGACTAATCGTTTTAATAATACAATGTATTTGGATTTGGTAAGCATCGTTTTGACAATTGGTTGATTAAACATATGTGGATTATTGAAGGATAAGCTATGTGACTCACTGGCTTATAAGTACTGGGCTTCCAGTCGACACATCTCGCCCTCGAGTCCTATTCCTTTCCTTTTATAGTAACTGAGTTCAAACAAGCCATTATATATAAGAGGTAACAGATGAAATCGTATACTTCAGTGACTTAGTGATAGAGTGCTCTCCAGCAATGGACTTTGTCCAGTGTTCGATTCCCGACCTCAAAACCTTTCCTAGTTTATTAACCTGTAATAAATCATGAAACGAAAGGGAGATAGGGTATAAGGCTAGCAAATTCACCTGTTAACATTAAAATAACACCAGTGCTACTGAAACTTCAAGGTGTGAAGCTTGAAGACCCCGATGTTCCACTTGAGACGTAAAGGAACAAGGCAAAAACTAAATAAAGTCATGATTTTATCACAGTGTGAATTTTATTTCTCCAATTTTCTTTGAAACTACCTAATCATAAAGTTATTAATAGGATAAAAAGTGACGTTTTTTAAGGAATGATTTATTAATGATTTCCTCAGAAATCCACACTTTTTTCATCCGTTCTTATATTCGCTTTTATTTCTATCCTTCCCTCTTAGCTATACGCATTGTTATACTCAACTATGGAGATACACAATTCACCTGTATACCTTTCACCATCTGCTTATATTTCCAACACAGAATATACATCGATTATTGATCGTTTAATAAAATCATTCTCTTGGTTGAATAACGCAAATATTGTTAAATGTCCATTGATAAGACTATTGTATCTGAAAACACTTAGTCCTTACTATTATAATCATCAATTGACTCCTGTCAAATCAATTTCATCCTTAAACAGTTTAGAATATGAGTATACTGAAGGAAATGTAAACGCTTTGATTGATTATGCAATATGCCAAGGAAAGAATAATATTCAAGTTCATAAAGAAGTTGAACAGTTACTAAAGTCATTGAATGATATCAGTGTAAGTTATACTTTTGATTTTGGTTAATGCATTAAATTGTGTGAATAAATTGATGTTAAGTGACTGGAGTCAATCGTTAGGGAGGCCTATGTGGACCTACATTTCTTGCTTGTTAGCACTCGTTAGCAGGGTATATCCGCAGTCTTGTTGAAGCTCATTTCACATCTGAGTTCGGAACTCGCGTCACTCATTGCTACAGTCAGAGACAGTATCACTGAACTATTCGGCTTCGTGTGTTTTTCTTCTGTAGAACTGTAAAGGACACTTTGATTGGACACTAAATAGTAACCAGTATCATGCGTCTATTCCTTGGTGTGTTGCTGTAGACTGAATTCTATCAGTCAAGTTTTGCTCTGTTGTTACAAAGCTAGGTGCCTCGCTATTGAAATGCACTCTGAATGGTTACTAAATCGTTGTAGGCAATTGTTTCAACTACAGGTGGGACAGATGAAGATGTCAGAAAGGCAAGATACGCCTTTGTCAGCCTGAAACCAGTTTAGAAACTGTTATGTACTCGTCGCTAAATTATTGTTATGGTCTGGTCGAGAAACTAATAGTCCTGACGCAAAAAGGCGGAAATCAGAAGACCACTAGGTTTGCGATGATACTTCTATTGTCCAAACACAAGGAGACGCAATAAATGGTCTCACACCAAAGTGGTAAGTAAGTAAAGTAGTTGTAAAGTCACAAGATTGTGTATGCGAAATATATATGAATGTTCCAGACAAAGCGTGGGAACAAAATATTAGACAGTCTTAACATGAATGGCTAATTATAATGGAGTGTCGATCCAAATATACATAGCGAATATAGCAGACATGTCAACAACCAAACATATAATATGGATATATGTCACTAAGCAACGGACTGTCAACAAACACTCATATTATATATAATATAATATAAGGAGAATACACATTAATAAAGGAGACAAGTTCACACAAGTGAAGTGGTCACAGACTAAGCGAGCAAACAGAAAGAGAGACCAACATACACACACACATACATATATATATGTGGATACATATCAGAAACCATCTGTACTAACTCGGCGTAAAGAACAGGACTCGGATTTTCAACATAAATATAAAGTTAGTCAGTCACTGCTTCTATAACGGTCAGGAACTTGAAGTGTGCTCGCGTCATGAAAAGGATTTCCAATAGGTTACAGCAGACTTTTATCAACAGCTGCCTCCGCTCCATACTGAAGGTCGAATGGCCGGCCAGAAAGAATTAGCATCAAGAACCTATGGCTGGTGACGAGCCAACCAAGAGCTGATTGTTCAATAGATATGTAGGAGAAATTGGAGATGGATCGGGCATACGTTGAGAAGGCCGTTGTTCTGTTGGAATCTGAATTGGAAGTAAAAAATCGGTCGTCGCTGTGAGAGTAAAATAGAAGAGATCATTTGGCGAGGAGGAGATGAGAAACTCTGAGCAACCATGGAGCTAGCCAGCTGAATACGACAGACGGCAAAAATAGAAGAAAAAGGAGATGTGTTGTTAAAGCCCTATGTTCCACTTGGAACCCAAGGGACTAATTTTTTTCTATCTAACATAGGGTTCCAAGCTAGAGGCATGAAGTTTCTGCAGCAGTGTTTATTTTTACAGGATAGGGCTGCCAGCCTCATGCCCAACCTTTCCTCTTCACCAGGATTATTTCTGGCTTAGCGAGGTAAAGGAGTGCGTCGGTGGCCGGGGATCGGACCCCGGACCATGTGCATGGTCGGCGAGCATGCTTACCTCTGTGCCACCGACGCACAAAGTGACTAATAATAATAACAATAGTTATAATAAGGCAATCGGTAGGAATTTCTCCTCTTAACGTCTTGATTTTAGTGTTTGTGGTTGTTCTTTGTTGGGGGGGGGTGGGAGTGTCACTGTGTTTAATGATTTCCTCTTTAGTTTGAGCAATCAAATCTGAAGTTTTAGCTCTTTTGATCAGAGTAGTCATTTGGCTTTTGACTACTGATTCACAGATTTGTACCCCGTGCACTATCTACCGAGGTTTTGGGCAGCTACATAGTTTTAGCGCCATTTTATCAGTCACATACATGCAACAGGTGGTGCTTATTGACAATGGCTTGTAAGTTGTTAGATGCCTTTATATTCTGATAATTAATTGCTTTGAAATAATGTAAAGTACACTGACTGACTAGTTGGTGACATCCGACTATTAATCAAATGAGTGTTTAACTCGGCATCACTGAAACTGAGAAACATAAAAACACTAGCTATCCTTACTTACAAATGTTTACGTTTTATCTCCGCGTCTTAACTAGTATTATAGGGTGAGAAATATTCAGGTAAGGCTTAGCGATGGTTAAAAAGGGCAACTCGACCAATGGAGTTGTGAGTGTATATTGATTGAGATGGTTAGGACATGTATTGCACGTGCCAAGACGTCGTCTTCCTCAACGGGTGATATTAACCGATGTAGGATTAGATTGGAAAATAATTAGTGGTGGTTAAATCGAAGTTTGGTAGATTGATAGGAAGTGGTCAAAATTGAAATCAACATTTTAAGTTAATATAGCCACAGAGGGAGAAGTGTTAATTCCTCAAATTTGAACTTAGTTTACGTTGTGGTTGTGAAATAGTCTCACTAGATAACTTTTTTTTCTCATCGTTTGACCTTGGGCCAATGGCTAACCAATCGGAACAATTTATTATCTGGTGACCTAGGCAACTTTTAATGTGACTAAGAATGTGTAAATAGTATGGGTTCTTTTTTCTTGATAAATATAGTCCCTTCTCAATTCTCTTGTCTTTTGCTGTTACAGCATCAGTTTGACTATTGGTTCGAACCAGTAGCATAAGGAGGTGTAGAATCTCTCTTTTTAGAGTCCTCGATATTCTAAGAAATATTCGGTGATTTGGTTTAATGTCGTTCTCAATGGTGTCGATGAGTTCATTCTTTGTAATCCACATCCATTAAACGCTTATTTAACATGAATGCAGTCGATTCCAGTCACAGCAGTAGGTCCGTAGATGTAATAGGATCTTTTCAGCAGACATCCACTGGTAATTAATACCTCCTGGTGACTTTATATTTATGTACATATATTCACACTGAAATTTACCTCTGCTTTCTTTCTTCTCTGTTTATGTCTTCAATCTATTTAGCTGCTTACCTCAGCCTTACGTCGAATTAGTTTATATTTATGCTCAAAAGTTGGTGACCCAAATGATTGTAGTATGAATTTGGAGAACATTAATGCGATGGTTCAATGTGGAACACAGCCTAATACAGAAGTATTGAAGATAACTGAAAATCTGTTCACTATCCAAACATTGTTAGGCATTTATTACCATCAAAGTGTTTGTAATGATAATACTAGTAGTAATAATAATAACTATATACTTACGGAATTGAAATCCATGTACAAAGCTGAATTCACACGTTACTTTTATGCACTACTCACAATACTTATTCATTCAACCAATACTACTACGACTACTGCTTCATCAGTGGACTATATTCACAAATTATTAGATCCAGATTATCAACGTTTACTGTCTATTGCAGATCCAAATTCACTAATCACTCGAGGAAATCCTGAAGTCAGTTTTACAGCCATACAACTTTATTCCTATGTCAACTTAATACATATCACTGATGATAAACAGAGAAAGAATGATAATGGCGTGATACAAAACTCGTCTTTGACGGATCATCGCTGTGATGATCCATTTAGTCTATTGTGTAGATTATGCAATTCACGTTTTAGTCATAGCGTTCGTGAAAAACTTAATCCAACTGGAGAAGAAGAAGACGAAGAATTGAATTATGCAGCCTTATATTCACTCTGTTTATTGGATATGCAGAGATTGGTTGCATTCACCTCACAGAACAGTGGAAATACTGATGAAAGTGAGTTCAACGTCTCGAAGTTATTTTATTCACCATTTTTTCCCCTATGTTTTTGATAGTTGACATGAATTCTCATGTAATTCTTTTGCTTTGCGAGTAAATCGACATGAAATTATGCTTTCCGTAGGCTTTATACGTATTAATAACCATCTACGCAATCGGTTGCTTCATTGTTTCATAATCACGGCTGCAAGTGATAATGTTACTTTATTATTATTATTATTCATTTGGGTTCCTAGTAAAACATAGGGCTTCAACAGCACACCTCTATTTCGTCTTGTTCTCTGGTTCCAGAGCATCTTTTGGTCTCTGTGGGATGACAAGAATTTTTATTTTTCCTGGCATAGACGAGAGCATGATTCTGTACCAGGCTGAATTCACCCTTCTTTCGAGTCTGTCTTCCAATCGTTTGGTTCCTTTCCTTCCTTACTTTAAAATTTTCTGCAATAGTGATGTGAACATATCCGCTGAGTTCTCTGGATCCGTTTTCACTGCTGACGGAGGAATTCCTTCTGGTCCTACTTTATGGACCTCAAAACTTTTGCTTTCGTCGAAGCATTGGTGATCACTGGTAGTTATGTCTGTGCCTGCTGTTGGTGATATCTCTGGGAGGTTTGTAGATGTTAGTCGGTTCGAGAGTCTTTTGAAGTGACTAACCCATTGTTCGCTTCGGTTCTCCACCTTGATAATTAGGTTCCCTTCACTAACTTTCATTGGTTTCATGTGTGTTGACCTCTTTCTGGATAACCACCTGACTCTCTAGAAAAGTGTTTTGAAATTCTCCTTCCCTGAGACCCGTTCTTCTTCTAGGGTTATTAGTGTGTTGTAGATTTGTCCCTTTTTTCGGATTTCCTACAACTCTTCACTTCCTTGTTTAGTGTACTGTAGAATGAATTCATCCTCTGTCTCTTCTGACAGAAAGTATTTGCACACCATACATATCTCAAGGGGTCAGGTGTAAGTAATTATGTGGTTATAATAAGTGTAATAATTGAAATTTCATTAAGTTGTACTAGTAGTTTATGGATTGTACAGCGAATTCACACACACACACACACACACGATTGAGATACTGCGATAAGTCAGTGAACCATATCACTACATACTTTAACTAACTTAATTATTCAAATAGATATAAAGCGAGCATCCCAATATGAAGTAGTAAATACGAGTTCAATTTAATGACTAAGCGAATCGTTCATGGGTTCGAACCCCACTTTCCATCCACCGAGATTTGGGCAGCCAGATTGTCGTTGCACTAGCTCTCACACAGAAAGCTGTTGCTTATTGCCAATTACATAGAGTTGCAATTAGTTGTTGAGTAACATTTCCGTCATCTCATTTCCAATATTAATATTGTAGCCATTCTATAACAAGCATACAGGAAACAGTTGAGATATGTCTCAGAAGGTTTTGTGCACTTATGAAGTATATAGACGATTATTACTTCCCAGCGGCTCACACTGTGGAACTTCATTTCACCTTGGGTTGCGTAGAAAAAAGAAGAGCAATAGTGTTGTTTGACTATAGAGCCCAGGAGGCAACTGCTTGACGTGGTCACACACACACACACACGGTCTGTTTGAAATGGTATTTGGAGTTGTTTCCGTAGTAAGGTGATTGTACCACCAGCTACTGTCAGCTGCAGGATAAATTGGAATTGAAATTTTCCAATCCACGACCTCTCCAGAGCGAAGAGAGACAGTATAGTTGTCTAATGGTCATCTGAGGTAAACACATTATTACTGTTATATACCTATTCGTTAAGTGCACAACTTCGCCCAAACACCTTCAACATAGTACTAACAAATCACACTATAATAGTAACTGCGTGTAGTGTCTAGCCGCTATTCAAATGACTTTTCTAGCGTGGTGGTGGAACTTGTTGTAACATTCGTTCCAGCCAGTTTAGCTCGCTGGGTCATTGTGATATGCAAGCCTGATGACCACATCAAGGTAAGTAGCAGCTGACAGTCGGTTATATTGGAATAACCGTATTATCTGTACATTCTGTTTCTTAGTGTTTTTCATTTTTTTATAGGAGAAACTCTAATTGCTGAAGTATTTATTACATTAATCAAAAATCTGGTTAAACCGGTCAGTATGAAGTTGGAAAAATTGGCCTGTGGAATTACACAGAATTTACTAGTTTCTTCAAATACACAATCTAAATGTGAGTTAGTTTATTGTGTGTGTGTGTGTGTATATTTTGTACGTTTCATGATGAAGACGATGATGATGATATCTACGATGTGATCTGACATCATTTTACAGTTTTAGAGTTATTCTGTGTATTAATATCCCAGTTGTCGTGCTTTTTCTACACGTTGAGTAATAGATGGAAGTTACACAGAGACACAAAGAAATGAAGATAATGGAATTTGGGACTTTTGTCTATTATTATTAGTGAAGATCAGATAAGCAGACGGCATCGTTTCAATTACAAACGTGAATGAGGATGTTAAAACCAGCCAGAATCAGAAAAGCTTGACAGACCTTCATTAATCTGAAATTAACGTGGAAATCTATTGTAGTAAGCATAAGGAACAAGATTCAGATTTTAAGCACTAACTTCAAGTCGGCCAACACTTCTTCTTTATAGTTCACAGACCTTATGAACGTGTCACCAAACGGTGTTTTAACAAATGCCCCTTCTCCCCATAGTGAAGATCAGATGGCTACAAAAAGATAAATAACAAGGAACTCTGTCAGCGAACTAACAAATATACAGAACAAAATGGTGATGGATTTGATATAAAATGAAGAGACGGTTGAGCGAAATCATGCCTCACACACTCGATTAGGAAACGACCTGTTGGGTGTGAATGGAAGAGTGGCATGGAGGTGATCGTGTAAGGAGGATGCGAAAGCTTATTGACGCCGTCAGAGAGCAAGAAAACAGAATAAAATGACAATGTATTGAAGGCCTATGAAGACCCTCCATTGTCTGTCCGTTTTCGACATAGAACTTTGCACAAATGTGCGGAAGTTCAAGTCGCCACATTCCGTGTAGCACGCGAAGCAAGAGAAGAAAGTACAAGAAAAGCATAATAGAAACAGTGAGCAGAGGTGTGAGACAAAGGAGTAATAAAGAAATACAAAACAGTTTCATTGAAGATCATAAGTCACAGGGAGTGGATGCATCTGCGCCACTGAGAACGATTTTGAGCCATGTCACCAATTGTTTCCAACCATAGATTTTTACCGTCCCGAGGACCCCAGCCTGGAAGTCTACACCTTCCTACGTGGCTTAGACCAACTGTTGTGGATTTCATTGACTGATGCCAAGTTTTTGTTTGACCGCCGCTAGCTTTTTTCCAGCCTGACCCTATATCCGCTAACATTGCTCGTCGAGGGAGGCGATGGCTTGGCATACGTAACACATGTCCTAACCATCTCAGTCTTTGTAGCTTCACGACTTCGTCGATTGATTTCCCCTGTTTACCTAGAACTCTACGCCTAACCTCCATGTTGCTCACCTTATTATGCCACTTTACACGGGAAATAGAACGCAGGCACCTATGATCAAAGACAGCTAGTCTTTTCATGTCTTCCACTCTCAGTGGCCAGGTCTCACAACCATAAAGGAGGACGGAGCGGACTGATGAGCAGTACACCCGCCCTTTGGTCGATAGTCGAACATCTCGTCTACGCCAGAGTCGGCGTAAACTAACAAATGCGAAACGAGCCCCTTGTATTCGTGCTGAGATTTCGTCAGAGATCAGCCCGTTGGGGCTGATGGTACTTCCCAAATAAGTGAAGCGGTCAACGTGCTCTACCACTTCACTTCCTATTTTTAAACTAGGCGTCGATGTAGTCCAGTCCTGTAACATCATCTTGCATTTGGCGGGAGCGAATCGCATGCCAAACATTCGTAGATTGCGGCTCAAGGTGTTTAGAAGACTCTGCATTTCGTCAGCGTCTTCGCCTAGAAGGACTATATCGTCTGCATATTCCAAGTCAACGAGATTATTCCCGGTAGCAAGTCAATCCCTGAGTCGCTGAAGTCACCTAGGGTTAAGTCCATTAACACATCTATGATGAAGTTGAATAGAAAAGGAGATAATGGGCATCCTTGACGGACACCACTGGTCGTCATCAGTTCAGATGACAGCTCGCCGTAAGCCCTCACCTGGCTGTATGAGTACGAATAGAGTGCCTTAATCAGTGCAATATATTTTCTTGGAATTCCCTTTACAGCCAAGCATCTCCAGAGAACTTCCCGATCGACAGAGTCGAATGCTGCCTTTAGGTCAAGAAATATAATGACTGTTGGACGCCGGTAGGAATGCCTATGTTCTAGAATCTGTCGGAGGGTGAAGATATGATCAATACACCCTCTTCCTGGTCTAAAGCCTGCCTGGCTCTCTCGTGTTTGTGCTTCCCGAGCACCACTCAGTCTACGCATGATTATTGAGCCTAAGACTTTAGATACTATATTAGTCAAGCTAATCCCTCTGTGATTATCACAGGAAGACTTGTCTCCCTTCTTGTATATGGGGATAATCAGTGACTTACACCAACCCGATGGGACTTCTTCTGATTCCCAGACGCTGCCTAGTACCTCAGTTAATCCGGACAGTAAGCTGTCTCCACCGTACTTAAATACCTCTGGAGTCATTCCATCAGGTCCCGCTGCTTTGCCTAGTTTCAGATTGGTGACAGCTTTAGTAACCTCAGTTAGTGACGGAGGACCTGTATCTATATCCCATTCAGGGAGGTGTTGGATGCTCGGAAGGTTGAGCGTGGCTGTGGGCAAATTAAACTGCTCCTCATAATGCTCTTTCCAACGATCCAGTCGTCTATCCTGGAGCTAATTATAGTGCCATTTTTTTCCGAGATTGTCTCACTAATGATTTGTCTTCTCCCACCCGTTTCCCTGATGAGTCCAAAGAGTTGCCTGGTGTTGCCTATCCTCGAAGCTTTCTCCATCTCTTTGGCTTTTGTCGCCCACCACTGTTCACGGTCCTTGCGGAGACTTTTCGTAAGTTTCCTCTTGTGCAGCTTTCGCTCCTCATTGAATTCGGAGCTCGCCGGAATAAGTCTTCTAGCATCTATCAGTTCGGATGAGGCGGTGGAGATCCAGTGGTTTTTACTCACCTTTGGGTTTACCTTATTCACAGCTTTTACAGCTGTATCTATGGCTGCCTGGATATTTTTCCAAGCTTCTTCAGGGTGAGCACAGCTGTCGAACACAGATATGTGTTTAGCTAGTTCTTCCTGAAATACGGATTTAGTTTCCTGATCGAGCTGGGGACGTGATGGTTTTACCGCCAGCTGTTTCCTACGTCCGTTCAGTCGTAAGCACACCCGAGCGCGGACCAGTGCATGGTCGGTATCTACGCACGTGTTCCAGAAGGAGCGACAATCTCCTACCGACCCACGCCAACGATAGCTTATTGCTATGTGGTCTATTTGTGTCCAGCGTTGGTTTGATGAAGGGGGTCTCCAAGTCAAACAGTGTCTCTCCTTGTGTTTAAAGTTAGTGCTTACAAGAAACAAATGATTATCAGAGCAGAACTGTAGGAGACGGTCACCGTTGTCGGTTCGCTGGCACGGAACTCCATAGGTGCCACCGACATCCTTCTCAGATTGACACAATTTCCCTACTTGAGCGTTAAAGTCACCAGCTAGAACGACTATGTCTGAGCGTTTAGCCTTTCCACCAAACTAGACAGCTTTTGGTAGAACTCATCCTTCGTTTCATCTGAACTGCAGTCAGTGGGGGCGTAGGCGGAGATTACGAAAAGGCATCGGCGAGTAGTGCAGTCCTTCCTCCTTCTTACTGATCCGTTCAGGCGGACAGCACACATTCGGCTATCTACCGGGATCCAGTCAAGCAATGTCTTTTCTGCCCTAGTACTCAAAGCTATCCCTACGCCAGCTAATCCTCGTGAACTAGCTGTGGCATCTCCTGACACCCTCAAGGTGAATTTTGCAGATTCAACCTGTTGGCCAGGTGGGGTTAGGTGAATAACCACACTTGGGTCTTGTATGCGTGTTTCTGAAACACAGCATACATCAATGGCTCGTGATGCCAGGGTCTTGGCTAGTGATGCTTGTTGTCCTATTTGGCAAAGTGTCCTAACATTAAGAGCTCCTATATGAAATTGGTGGCGCGGCTTTAAGAGGCTGTCGGTGGTGGTTTTTTGGCTTCCATCGTTTTTAGTGGACGCAGAGTGGAGAGGAAGTGGAGAGCTATCAAGTCGAGGAGTTGCATCAGTGGAAGGAAGGCAAGATGATAGAGATGAAGATGAAGACAAAGATGAGTGAGTAATAGAGAGGTTTCGTGTGCATTTCGGATTGTGAGGGCGATTGTTACTTCCCGGCTGCCCACACCGTGGAAGTTGGTTGCGTGACCGCAGAGCCCAGGGGACAACTGCTTGAGGCCGGTCACACGCGGCCTGTTTTTGTTCGTTCTTTTTTGTTTGGTGTGTCTCAGTAGCAGATTTATCACTCCCGCCCTGTGACACGGCAGCAGGAAGCGCGGTCGTTGTTAATCCGGGCCACGGCCGATCCGGCATGAAATTTTGTAATTTTGTATTGGACATGATGTTGGATTGGGTAGCTGCTTTTTGTTTAACCGCTATCCAAACAACCTGCCTGGCATGGTAGAACCTCAAGAGACATAAGTCTCAGCCAGTATAGCTTGATTAGGTCATTGCGGTGTTCAAGCCCGACCACCACGTCAAGGTAGCAGCTTTCGGTCGGGAACCCAAGGACTATCTTATGGTAAAGCAGTAACAATAGACTAATGAAGTTACAGCTAACTTAGTCAGTAAGCTTAACTAGTAGTTGCTCAATCAGTTAATAATGAAGCCACAACATAAAGTTCTCAGATTAATTTTAATATATAGTTGCAACGATTACATTTTCTGTATTCAGTAGTGAAAACGTTTCTTTCCGAGACACTAAGTAGTAATGTGTGACTAGATTTCACTACTTTGGACGACAGATGTGTTATTACGGTCTGTCGATGAACTGAACTGTAATCCGTCGCACAATAATAATCTCTCGTTTCATATTCACTCTTACCACTATAAACTTGACATCTAAAACGTTCTCATGTTTGTTGTTTCACTGTGATTGATGTATTATGGTTGGTAGTTGATTTATTAGTCATATATCTTCCTCTCCACATACTTCACATTATTACTATTATCATTGTAATTT